GTTGTAATCTCCAGTGTTAACTAGAGATTTAAAAACTGTTACTTCTTATGTTGTGGTCTTAAAGTCTGAAGAGACTTCCAGTTTTGCTAGGATTATATGGTATTGTATTTTTAGATCAGATTTGTAGTCATCTGAAATACAGAATGACGTAGAGTAAGATTACAGAATGTGGTATTTTTGAATCAGTCAGTGTAGTCCTACTGAGATGCTTTTGAAATTTTTGAGATGTTCCACCTTTGAATAGTATGTAAGAGCAGACCCTGAAGAGCAAAGCCAGCATAATGCTCTAGTAGTCCAAGTAGAAGCCAGTACGGAGTTTGCAGGATGTTTATTAAGAAAAACTTTCTTTAACAAAAAAAAAAAGAAGCTGTAAGTACTCTTTATATAGCCTTTATATAGTTTCAGGCATCCATAGGGTGGGTGATCTGTCAGATCTTTTCATTGATATGTTTATCTTTCAAGACAAACACAGCATTCCTGAGTGGATAACTAACTTGTGTGGTAGGAAGATAGAAACATTTTTAGTAAATGTTTTAATTTAATTACTTCTTGTCCTCTTGGTACCATTTGATTCTTTGTTGCTGTTTTGGAAGCAGTGTAGAAGCCCTGTTGATTTTGATTTTTTTTTTTCCTTTTTTTTTTTTCTTTAAGCTTGCTTAAAAATTAAGTGTTCTTTCCACTCCTCCAAATCTGCAGCAGCCTCTTCTAACTTTGCAGAAAGTCTGTAGATACTTTTTGGCTTGACATAGAAGCATGCTGTGATCGGAAATTGTTCCTTAAAGCAAAGGAGAACATAAACCTGCAAAGGAACTTCAAAATACTTGGAGACTGATTTGACTCAAGCAGCTGTGATGTAGTTTCATCACTTGTGAAAGAGGTTATATGTTTTGTAACAATTACTTAAGTTTGCTTTTTTGTTAGTTTTAGAAAGTTCTAGCATACCTTTGTTGTGATCATTAGAATCTAAATTTCAGTTTTCAAGTTTGAATGTTGCTTGTAGCTAATTTTTATTTGCTCCTATGCATTTAAGTAGAGTAGTTCTCTTCCTGCTAAAGGTCTTTTTGTATAGGCATACAAAATAGTCCTCTTTCCTTAGTGTCCATGTGAAGAAGCTGAGCTCTTAGGTTTTCCGTTATCATGGTGAGTGGAAGCATTTCTTTGTAGCCGTTCCACTTAAAATTTACTTATCTTGAATGTGGGAAGCAAAAATTATGTGTATTGCTTTGGAAGAGTTTGTTCTTACTGTTGTCTGTTTGTCTAGTGTGTATGTGCTTTCTCTTTCTCTTCTGGATATACTTCTGGTATATTTTAGGATTATAGTGTTCTTTTTATTGTTACATTATATGTGATGCATTGCAATGAATACATAGTGATCTTTCTCCCTGTGTTTCCAACTAATTGCCTCAGTCCCTTAATTTGAAGGACAGGAGAGAACGTTATCTACCTCAGGCTAGTAGAGGCTTAGTTCACTGACTTTTTAAACAGTGCTGATGACTTGTGTTGGAAGGCATGATAGAAATGCATAGTGTCATTGTGTGTAGACTGAGTTCCATTATTTTTTCTGGCAGTAAATGTGTTAGTAAGTTATTTCTAATAACCTTACTAGGTTTCATGGCCTATTGCGTTTTGTCCTGTTAGCTTTTAATTGCTTCAGTCGATACCATTTCTGCTGTGTCTCAAATGTGTTCTCAGTGGATGATTTCCTAATGTTCATTTCATCAACAAGCTCTAATTTTTTCTGTAGTCACTAACAGAAAGGCCTGGCTTGAGGAACTTCACTGATAACATCCTTTTAGCTCTGTATGTCTTTCCAAAATAATAACTGTTATCCTTTCCTTAGCAAGTTTACCTACTCTGCATTTCTCCTGTTAATCACAATCTGTTCCATTTGGACCAAGTTTTCAGTGCCATACCATGGCTGTGAAATCTTGTGATGTTGAATGAATTATATTTTCTTGGTATAAGAAAATCAGTTATTTTACTGGAGAAATTCTGCTAAGTCTGTCTGGTACTCTCTACTCTTGATTAATTTTCATTTTACTTGATTTTTTTTTTCTTTTTTTTTTTTCTTCCCATGTCTTTTACTTTTCTTAAAAACTAGATTTTAAGTCTTTCATACTACCTATTGATACCAGGTCAGAAAGGCTTATTATTGAGCTCTCTCTCGGTAGGTGGTACTACTCTTGTGTTCATACAACAAATTAGTTTTATGAATCTAAGACATGTTATTTTGTGTACTAGTTTCACACCTCTATTCTCCCTGGTTTGGGGAAGAACAATAAACTCTTCAAAACGGAGAGGAAAAGAGAACTTCCCTTTTTCATTCTCTTATTTCATCAGCATTCCTCCCTTTGTGATGTACCAATCTCCATCTCATTCCTTGCTAGTGAAAATACGGGCAAATAGCTTAATTCTTGGGGTTGAGACTAAAAGTAATCCTAATTTAGTCCTCATTGTATAGCATCACTGGTTCTTCTTTGTGGCTGACGAGTCCTTGCTACTTGCTTTGCTATCAGCAGTGTCTTAACATGTTTGCTCTTGGCAGCCCTTTGTTGGGACAACTCTTCATTGACCAGTGCTTTTTCTGTTCTCATGAGCGGTCTCTTCCCTTCACTGTTGATGCCTTTGTTCAGCAGGGGAAGGTTCCAGGCAGAACAAACAGTTTATCTTCCTTCGGATACAGTCTTCACATAGTTCTTGCATCTTTGATTTAAAAGGGATGGAGTGGGGAAAGCAGCTTCCTTCTTGCTGAAATCCTTTACCTAGTTTGCTGAAGTTACTGCTTCACTGATTTACTACAGCTTCCCCTTTTGCAACTGACCAGGTCCTCTGTGTTAGCTTTATTGTTGAAGAAATTCCATTGTAAAGTGTCTTTTATTAATCTCCAAATATTTTTGTTTGAAAAAAATTCTACCGGGTAGCACACTCGGGCAGGCTCTGCTCTTAAATTTGTAACAGTAATTACATCTTGGAAGCTTATCCCCAACAGTAATTTTTGTTCTTATGATATTAAAGATCTTTATTTCCAAGTAATTGTACATCAGACTTGAGGGGTTGTACCAAAAGGTCTTACTGCTGTCCTTTCCAAAAGCAGTTTTTAAACCAGATTCTGCCACATTTAGAGTAAAACCATTTGCACTGGACTAATCACTGATTTTGCACTGATCACTCTTCTTTTCATTTATGTAAGATGGAAATGTCTTCCCTTATAATTCTCAAGGGTTTCTTGAAAATGGTCCATCCAAACCATTTCTTGCTGGGAAGGATTAAAAAACCCCATCATCTTAGTCTGATTTTTTTATCCTCCTATTTCTTATTTTTCCCCTCACTATGGTTAGCAAATAGGTCTTCCCACAACATACCTTGTTTTCCTTGTAAAACAAAGCCTTAGAATCTTAGGCTCTAGGAGAACCCTGAAATTCTATTTTTGAAGGACTTGAATGTTATGAAGCTTGATGCTTTGATGTTTGGTTTTTTGGAGGCAGGGAAAGGGAACAGAAATCTCTATGCAAGTACTCCCTTTCCAAGTTTTTACTATACATCTGCAAAGCTTATTCTTGGGCTGAGGTTCTTTCCCCTTTCCACCTACCTCCCCAAACCATCTCCCTTTAATATGGTGAGCTTTCTACATACAAAAAGCAGCACAAAGTTGTAAGTTTGGCTTGGTTGTTGGATCTTGCTTACCCTAAATTCATTCTGCATTCCTAGCTGTTGTGATGTTAGTGTCACTTGCTTGAAGCTCTGTTTTTATTTTCCATCTCTTCCTATAGGATACTTCTGTTCATTTCTTCTGGAATAGTGGGCAAAGTAGAACATAAAACTTCCATTGGTTTATGTTCCTCTTTTGCTGATCCAGAAACTCATTTGGCTTTTATGGAAAGTACTTGTAGTAAGACAGACCTTTATCAAATACCTGAAAGCACTGGTAATAGGTGTAGCAGCCTCTGTCACTGGGGGGATATGCAGGGGTGTGGGTGTGGATGTGTTGTAAGACCGTGGGCAAAAGATTTAGACTTCTTGCCTTTGTCTCAGCCTGTAAGATAGTGAGAACAGTACCTACCTCACATGTTTTTCGAGGCTCGGTTCGTTAACTTTTTAAAATAATGCTGACAGCCTCTGGAAGGTGCTACAGAAGTGCATAGTGGTACTGCCTGCAGGCTGAATACCACTGCTTTTTCTGGCAGTATGTAGACCTGCCACAGTTAGGGAAAGAATTTTGTTTGGTGTCTCTTTAAAGAAAATGCAAAAGTGCTTTGCTGGGGAGAATAGAAAGGGGCTTTCTGAAGAGGTGCTGAAGACATGAAAATTCAGAGTGGTGATTGGTCACCTCTGCTTGATTGACAGGTTGCAGGGAAAAACAAAAACCCATTTGTTCTGGCTTAATGGAACTGGAAAACAGAAAATGAGTATCAGGTAAAAATTCCTTTTTTAAAATCTTTGCAGTTCTCCTTTAAAAAGTGGAGTTTTTACACAAATCTACACCTCCCCCACTCCAATAAATTAGGAGTAGGAATTACAGAAATAGGCAGTTGCTAAGTTGCGTAATGTGGGTTGTCTATGTCAGTGCGTTTTCTAGTGGGCAGGTGTTCTGAAACACCGCAGCAGCCAATGCTACTGGGCTAGCTTAGCAGAAAGGCAGAGGATTGAAAGGGTGTAGTGACTAAGCCCTGAACTGGACCCAGCTCTCTGGTTAGGCTCATTAGCAGGACGTTCAAGGGGAAGCTTTTATTTTCACTTCCTATACTGTGCCTGCTTTGTGGATAAAGTCTGTCAGTTTCTACTACTATCAATTTGGCATCTTTCATGAGCATTATTACAAAATTCACTGAAAAGTGAATAGCTAAAAAGTAAACTATGTTTTAAAGTAACTTCCATCTAGCAGTATACTGTCTTACAGATTTTATGATAAATTTCAACATCAGCACCACAGTTTTGAGAATCATAATTGAAAAGTATTTATTTCTGGTAACTTAATTATTTTGTATGTTGATGTATTTCAGATTGAAGGACAAGGACATGGTGCAGTTTTTGACTGCAAGTGCTCTCCTGATGGACAGCATTTTGCATGTACTGATTCTCACGGTCACCTTCTGATTTTTGGCTTTGGTTCCAGTAGCAAATATGACAAGGTACAGTGCAAGATGAAAATCAAAATGTTTGTCTGTGTTGAATGCATTCATGCAAACTTTCCTTCAGAGCTTCATTTCAAGAGGTTGTATCTTAACACAGTTTTGAGCTATTAATATGGGATGTTTCAGATTCCTGTTGTTGACATTGAGCTTTCTTTCACTGACTTTTTTTAAACTATGGAAATGTGCTATTAAGCTACTGTTTACATGGGAAGTTAAAAATAATTTAAAAAGAAAACATTTTAAATTACCCAGTCACTGTCTACTCTCTTAAGTGACGAGGTTACTAGTGTCTACTAATGGGTCCAGATGGATAACGTGAATAAACTGCAGTGGAATTGATAATAGTTAAACATTTTGTTTTAAATATTTTTCTGGTTCCTAACTAAGACCAAAAAAAAAGGGCGGGAGGGTTTGTAATAGAACCAATTCCTGCTATCTGTATTTAAACATTGCATAACCCGGGAGACAATTACTTACAATAAATGTACTATATGTTCTAGTGATACAATTTTATGTCTGTTAATGAAGTTTTGCTGTTGTGGATGCCTTGGTGCTTACACAGCAATGTTCCACTGTTACTGTGTGATTAAAATATTACATCTTTATTCTAATGTCATAGTCTACATTGTGTATTCTAAGTGTGGGTGTCTTGCCACAGACCCTCATGACCGTAAAGATACCTGGTGTTATTTCTTTTCTCTGTGGATGAACATGCCCTATGAACCATACAGGCACCTAGTTTGGAGTGCCCACAAGGTCCTAGTTTTTCTTTTACCACCCAGGGAAGAGGTGAGGCGTGTCTCTTCTCCCTCTTTCTAAGACTTAAGCAGACATATCTGCTCCAGGATTTTCATCTCTGCTTGTGGTAGCTGATACTTGAAGCTTGTTTGTGAAGTGCTGGCTTCTGGATCTTGCCTCCTGTTTTGGATCTTTAGACTCAGGCTGGCCTTGAAAGCATTTTGCCAAATAGCAATGCAGAGGGGCATGAAGGAGGGAGAGCAAAAGGAATTTTAATCTTTGTCTGTAAGCCACTGCATTTCTTTCTGTAGTCTGCCAACTCTTATTTTGATGCTAGTTACAGCAACGTTCACATATTGGGGATTTTTTTTTTTCTCCTTGTCTCTCAACTATGATTTGAAGTATTTGGTACTTGGCTGCTGTTGCTATCCCTCAGCTATTACTAGCTGTGCATTTCCCTTTCTACTCCAAAGAAAACAGATGAGCAGACACCACAAGCGAGGAAAACCAGGATTATCAGATCATTTTCAAGGTCTTTGTCTTTCAGAGTTCTTACTCTTCCAAACTTTAAAGCCTGTTGTAATAGAAACATTTTTCTCACCATGTCCATGGATTGTTCCAGGTTTATTTTTCTCTCCAATCATTTTGGAAGTGTGTAGTCCTCTGCTACTCAGAAATGTTGGAAATTAAATTGAAACAGAGAGCCTTTTTGTCTTTGCTGTGATAGACCAGGAGTTTCCTTTACACTGCCACTTGAGAATTTACCTTGTGAGGGATTAGATCTGTTTGAAGAATGAAAACAATTGCTTTTAACTTCTTGAATTCTGCAGACCCTTTGTTTTCTTGAGGTTTTTGCTGCAGCCTCTGAGAAACGATTATGTTTAAAATTTTTCACATAATGGGTGATTTAAAATTATTCTCTCCAGCTGTTACTGTGCCTAGTGGTAATCTTGGCATTCTTGACCATAGAAGAAATGGGAGCAAATAGGACTTAGATTTGTTACTGCTTTAATCTCAGTCTTCAACTCTCAGAAAACTCAGCTTGGAAGTTTCAGATCTCTTTCTTGTCTGGTTCCATCTTTTTCATTTTTGTCTGACCTGTTTTATGGAAAAATGTAACTACAGATGGGTAGGTGCTGGAGAATAAATGTTCTTTGTCCTGTGTCCGTCCCCTGTCCCTTTCCCATCCCTTCCCTCCCCCCTCAGATACTTGGGGTTTTTTCAGGCATCTTGTGAGAATATGTGCTGGTAGGACCTGTGGTTTTTTTGCTTTAAAGTGGTTTCCATCCATCTTGGGGGATGATTTTTATAGAAGAAAGGAGTGTGGTGACCTGTCCTGTATTCCTGCGTTTGTAAGTTCTGCTCAGGACAATGATTATAGCTGAGATAGTGTTAGCTCTGCTGAGAGAACAAGCTCTTGGTTTTCCACGTGTATGTTTTTTCATACTAAGTTCAGATAGTGTCTGTGTTTCCTAGTTGACTGAACCACTGTCCAGGCTTTTTTTTTTTCCCCCAGTGTGACCTTGGCCACAATGAAGCCGATGGGGTGGTTTTGGCTTGTTTTCTTTTTTTTTCTTGGTTTTCTTTTTTTTTTTTTTTTTTTTTTTCCCCTCAGTTTTGATGATACATGTTTTTGTGGAGTAATTCTTTAGTAGGGGAAAAAGAAAAGAATACATTTGCTGCTTGTTTGGGGATCCTTTTTTATTTGACCCAATTAAGGGAACCTTGAGCCAATCTCAGCTGATATTTCTGAGTGTGTGAAGATCATCAGAGATGAGCTGAGCTCACTGTCAACAGGGCACATGCATTTCAGAAGTTCTTTCTTAGGTGGAAACTTGTCCAGGAATGCCTAACTGTCCTAAAGCATAAGGTACTTTTCTGACGATTTTAAATCTTAGATTGGACTAGATCTCTGAGCTTTCGAAGGCTTTTTTTCCTGTAGACTGCCCAAACCACAGTTCTTTGTTCCAAGTTGACAGCTCCTGTGTGGTGGATTGGTGCAGTAGGGGGGAAAATCTCCTTACATCTGTGTAGGTGTGCCCATTTGGAGAAACTGAGTGTTCTGAATTTGTAGTGTAGTTACTGAAGGAGAGTCTTACTTGTAGAGCTCAAACCTTGTAGAAAGCTTTCGTGCTCAAACCCAAGCTGGGTTTGTGAAGCCATATGTACAAAGGATTCGTATGTCCTAATGGTGGTGTAGTATCTTCTTATTGTCATGAATTTGATTTCTAATAGTATATCAAGAAATAGGTCTGATTTTTGGTACTTTTAACTGGTTGTCTGCTGAACATTATGCATTCAAGATTCTCTGAAACGTCTAATTCTTCTGGTTTTTCTCAGGACTTCAAATAACCTGAGGATAATGTTGTTGCCCTGGCTTCCAGTAGGGACATTCCAGTGTTCTACCTTAGAGTAGGTCTGAGCCTGGGTTCTCCATGAAATGCCATTCTCATCTTGTGGAGTAGAAGATTGTTGTTTACTCTCTGTACCATACCTGAGTGCAGTACAGAGTGCACAGAAAGGTAATTGCAAAGAAGTCCCTCATGATCTCGCACCAGAGACTATTGTGGTAGAGGTCACTGAATCTAAGGAAGGATTTTCAGATCTTCCCCTTGCTTACAAAACCAGGGATGCAGACAACACTGTAAGGCCATATCACAGCACATTAAAACTCAGTCTGTGTGATCATGCCATTAGAATCTTCTTTCTCGATGGGGGAAGCACTTAATAGGAAAATACACACTAGGTGAAGGTACTGGATGCTCTACTATTATGATTCTAGAGAAAATCCTAAGTCCTCCTAGAGGACCTCTGTCTTTATCGTATAGAGCTATTTGAGCTGAAGGGAACAAAGTTGTTAAGCAGGCCTTGATTCTGTCAGTCAGACACATGAAAGTACTTCTATCTTTCTCATTCAGCCTCTGTTAAAAGAGAATCTGGCAACAAGACTTCAGTCAGGGCTTCTTACTTCAGTGGGATATCACCTTGTCTGTATGCAATTTGTAAGGGTTACCTTTTGAATCCTTGAAGTAAACTGTTTGCCATTGCATCTTTCCATGCATTTTCCCAATTTCTTCCTGTTGTTACTTTTCAGAATTTTTGTGGGGTCCAGATCCTGTGATTCCTATGATTTTTCTTAAATTTTTATTTATGCACCTCATGTGGATGCATGTAGGCACTTTCTGATGTTGTAAATGATAGATGTTTGTCTTTGTCTTCCCTTCCTGGTCATCTCACACCCAGGGCAGGAGACCTTTGTCAGTGAGAGACCAGACCTCTGAGCAGATCCTATAACCTCTGCCTTACTGATTTCTACATAACAAGTTACTGGAAACTGTATTGGTCATGATAGAGCACGCTCTTCAGAAACTAGAGTGCATTCTGCAACATTATTCCTCTGTCTGTGCTCAAATACCTGTATTTAACACTGAAGACAAGATTTTTTGGACATCTCTATGCCTTGAGTCAATTGTTTAATCATTTTTATACTGCACTGGAAATCTAATTTGCGTGAATTATGATTTTATTATTTTATTTTTACGTGTTCAAAGTTAATCTGAGTACATGAGCTGCCAAGGGGTTTGCTTGCCAGTAGTAGTGTTGGGATGTGTAGTATATGTGTCAGCTTGTCTTCTCTTTTTCTTTTCTCCTTGTGGTTCAAGGAGATTGCACGATACTAAGATGCATGTGCTAATGAGGGAAGGAGCATAAGCCTTTTTTACATACTATTTGGACAAAAGAATTTCTCAGTCTTGAGTGTCTGTGGAAAGTCATCTAGAATAAATTATGAGCAGGTGGACTGAAATAAAAAAAGAAAACTTTGAGCCTGGAGAATTCAACTTTAGATCAGCTTTATTTTATCTACCGGAACTTTTTCATATATCTAGCATTATAACAGGAATATATACATTTGGCTGCTGTTGTTAAAATATTTGGCAATGACGTGATAAATACTTTCCTATTCCTCTTCTTCCTACACCATAGCTCCTAAGTCTGTGACACGCTTTTTGTTACCAGAATATATACTCATATATTCAGAGTATAGAAGAAAATTTGTAAACTATTTAATACTTCCAGGCTGTGTTCGGTCGATTGTCGTCCAGCAGTTAAACATTGCTCTATTCCCCTGTTCTTTAAATGCTCCCTACCCTTAAACATGTGGGTTATTCTCCTTGCACTATAATACAGAAAAGGAGTACTGAGAAAAGAAAGAACCACAGAGTCACTAAATTTTCCCCTTTAAAATGAGATAAACAGATCAGCTTATAACCTTGTTTTTGCAAAAGTGACCACAAGTATCATTGTTAAAAATACTTTTGGCAGTTATCTTCTGTATGCTTTTTTTAATAGGTTCTTTAAAAAAATTACAAAATGACTTTGTTTACAGATAGCAGATCAGATGTTCTTTCATAGTGATTATCGGCCCCTTATCCGTGATGCCAACAACTTTGTCCTGGATGAACAGACACAGCAGGCTCCACACCTTATGCCTCCCCCATTTTTGGTTGATGTGGATGGCAACCCTCATCCTGCAAGGTTTCAAAGACTAGTTCCTGGTCGTGAGAACTGCAGGGAGGAACAGCTTATTCCTCAGATGGGAGTGACATCTTCAGGTATGGAAAATTTCACTTCACTACACAGTAGCCTATCTAGTTAACTCCAGGTGTTCTACTCTTTCCCTTTCACTTCGTCCTTTTTCTTCATTTCTGGGCATAGTAGTTCATGTAGTGTGGAGGAATTGCAATGTCCATGGCACTAATTGCTTGTGACAATTTCACTTGCAGTATTGTCATTGATCAAGTCAGTACTAGTTGATGCTACAATGCCACTTAACTTGGAGCTCATTTCATTATTGGAACAGTGTATGTTGCTGAGTGAGATTTCATTTGATCTCTTTGGGGTAAGACTTCCTACTTCAGAAAACCTAGGAAATAGGCTGATCTTCCACAGATCAGTCAGAACAGGTAACACCTACAAGAGAAAAATGAGAGAACACCTGAAGCATGCAAAAATCCTCTTTCTCTTTAGATGAAGGCAGTCATTCAAATTAAGCTTTGATGGTTTGGTTAGAGAACTCTGAAGACTTGATGAGGACTCAATCTAAGAAGTTCCTTGAAAGTTGTATCTCCTTGCATACAACATCGGAGGAACGTGCATAGTTTGGGCCAATGGCTGGCTGTTGGAAACTGCCTAAATGTAGTCCACATGGGTGGGGATGTAAAAACAATGCCTACTTGGTACGTGTCACTAGTTCAATGTTAAACAGTAACTGGTGAAAGTAGTTTTAAATGTTTTCAAGATAAGCATTGTTAAGTATTTGGATATTCTTGAAAATATGGGAAAACTGCCTGTGCCTGTAAATAGGGGCTTATACCCGCACCATACTTAAGCCTGTGGTGTGTCAGACATTCCAGGAAGGTTGACTGACAGTTTTGTTACCAAAAGATCTCTTTATCCTCATTTGTAGACTTGAGGATTATAAGCCACTGAATACTTAAAATAATAATTTTTAAGAGACATTTCCATATTTCCTCCAAAATTATAGGAACAAATGCTACCTGAGAAGCAACTGTAGGAAGGAAAAAATCCTAGTGAATTTCTAGTGAATGTGTGCCATGTTTTCTCTCTAACTTTTTAGCTAGAGGCTTTGAAGCTAAACTGGATTTCCAAGGAAGGATGCAATTTTACTTCATTGTTACAGTTACAGCATGGATTCATGTGATTCTGAAATTCTGTAAATTTGGAAATGTCCTGGGCACATTCTCCAATATAATATCTTGAAACAAGTCAGACTCTGCACACAGACCCAACAATATTAAATTTAATGGTGTGGCTGCATGACACATGAATGCCTGTAGGAAGATGGTGACCATAGCATTTTGTTTAATAGCAGGAAGCCATCAAGCAGGCTGACAGAGAGACAGAGAGATGATGGAGAGACAGTTTACCTCTCTGCAGTTTAGCAACAATATATGCAGTCTTACACAGAGCTAAACTGTGTTCATGTGTTCTGTATGTTCCCTTCCACTAAGGAAGCTCCATTTCTTTCTGAAACTTTATTACGGGATTTGGTGGATCTCCCTCAGAGCACTGACAATTTTATTTCTTGTCAAGTATTCTGTAGGGGCTTACAAGAGTAGAAGGAATTCAGATAGTGATGCTTGATTTACTGCTTAGATGTATGTGAAGCTCCTTTAAACCAGATGTTTTTAGAAAATCAAATATGTACCAGCATCTTCATTATTTCATTTTTAGAAAGAACTTGCTGTTACTTGCAAAGGCAAAATCTCACAAGCTAGGTACATAGAAAACATTCATTTTGTTTAGGTTGCAGTTTCCTTATTTAAGATCATTCTTCAGTTTTTAGTAGTATTTCCCATTGTTTTCAGTAGACAGTATGTCTGCTCATGAGATCACCAAATAAATCTGACAGTCTCACTACATGAGTCAGAAGACATCCAGCTGTGGTTATGCCAGAGCTCATTCCATGATTCCAAGCTTCTGCTGCTTCAGGGAAGTTCACTTCAACTGCAATAACCTTGAAGCCCTGAGAGCACTATCTTAAATATTTATGTTCTTTCTGCATACCATCATCTATTAAGAGATGGCTGCTTCTGCCTAGCCACATAATCAAAGCTCTTCATTTCATAGCACAATTACTGTAATATCTTGTCTTTGATCTTGCAAAGTGCAATTTATACTATGATACCTCTTTGGAATCATGCTGGAAAAATAATTTCTGTAGCTTGTTTCTTCGAACATTGTCATCCCTCATTACTAAGTTTTTGCAAGTTCTGCTTCTCTTGACCAGAGCTTCCCAGCACTCCACTCCACCATCTAACTTCCATGTGGAGGTACCTGACTTCCTTTTCAAATCAGTACTGTAACCCTTGCCTTTTTCTCCATACTTCTCAATTTTTCTGTGACCATTTTGAGTATGACAAGAGGTTTTGTGTTGTTTATGCTTGCATGCTGTGTATCTTGCTTGCTGCACAGAAACAATATTATCATCTTGTAGTCACTTCTCTGAGAACTATTTCCTGTCTTTTATTCAAGAGATCTACCCAAAAGGAGGTTTCTTGAACTGTTTTACATACCAAAGAAAGTTAGCATTACTTAACCTGTGTCATCACTGTGTCTGTCTGGAGCTGAATCAAGCATTTTTACTGCTTGGTGTTCTCCAGTATAGGTAATTCGTTTCTAATTGAGTTAGACCTTCTTGATTGAGGCTTATACTGAAGTGTTTTATGACGCATTTGGGGCAGGCCATGCACGCATTTGAACAATTTACATTGAGCCGACAAACAGCAGTTGTATTAAGCTTCTGTGACATGCTGGCCCTTGATCAAATTTAAACTTTTATTTGGAGTGGCATATGATCATCTTGACCCTGCTACAGAATATATAATGCTCTCAATGTATTAAGAAAAAAATTGTCCTGTTTAAAAAATGGCTGTTAGAAAAATATGTATTAGCCCATACTTACACATGTGTTTATATACTGTACGTGTAAGTTTTCAAGCTAAAACTTAGATGAGCTGTTTATAACATTTGGTTCTTCAAATCAACATCTGTGTGTTGTTCTCTTGTATATTTTACTTCACAGGATTGAATCAAGTTCTTAGTCAACAAGCAAATCAAGAAGTTAGTCCATTGGATAGCATGATTCAAAGACTTCAGCAAGAGCAGGACCAGAGACGTTCTGGGGAGGCAGGAACCAGTAGTACCAGCCGGATAAGCAGAGGTAGATTACTGGGGGCTGGGTGTTGTGGCTTTTCTACTGAAGCAGCTGAGAGTTGGAAAAACATAAATCACATTATTGTGCATGATTTGTGCTCTTTGTTGAACAACTAGAAGGGAGGTATAGAGCCATAGAAAATAATACAGCTTTCCCATCTTTTTTTACCTTTCTGCAAAATCTCAGGGTGCTTAATACTACAAATTTATCTTTGTTAAAGTTATTGTCTGCTCATGCAGGGAACTTGCAGCAACTGCATTCCCTTAGAAGTAACTACCCTACTGTTTAATCTGGAATTGACAATCTACTTGATTGAAATCTGAATTGTCTCAAATAAGGAAATAGGAGGGAGAAAAGAGGAAGGAGCTGCTTGTTTCTCCATACAGCTGTTCCATATTTCAGTGTCTTGCACTAGATTACACAGTAGTTTTCAACCCTTAAAAAATCATGATTGGCAATCCACGTGAGTAAGCAAGAATAGCTTGTGTGTGGAAAGATGTGGGAAAATGTTGAAATTTTGCTATAATGTAGGTGCTTGAAGGATCTTCTGTGTGTGGCTTTGTTTTGGTTTGTTTGTTTGTTTTTATCTTTTCAACATTTCAATTTCTTGTCTGTAAATTTTACAGCTTGGATTCCTAGTAATTTCCAGTGTTGTGACTTCATTTTTTTTTTTTTGAAGGTAGAAGGCTGTTTAAGGAATATACTGATTCAGTGAGACAGCTCACTGTTTTATAATACAGAACTAGAGTGCAGTAGCAATATTCAGCTTCACAGAAATGTTTTCAAAAGCATTTTCGAAGAAAAGCAAACCAATGAAATATTTGCTTCACTTCAGATTGTTCATACATCTGCTCCTTTTCAGTGTGAATTTTTAAACAGAGTACTGCAGCCCAGTAGCTGTTTAAGTGTGTGTGTTGTGGTGACTATAGAAACTGCTGAAATAGTTCTAATCAGTTAATATTTTATTTCTTTTGAAGTAATAGATTAAGTAAAATTTTTTCTTTCCTTTCATTTTGAGCTTTTCTTTTTAAGTTCTTGCCTTAGAATTTCAGATCAAGTACAACTATTGCTTTTTGGTTTTTTTAGGATCTGTAAGTTCTACCTCAGAAGTACATTCACCACCAAATATAGGTTTAAGACGTAGTGGACAAATTGAAGGTGTGCGTCAGATGCATAGCAACGCACCAAGGAGTGAAATAGCTACTGAGCGGGACCTTGTGGCTTGGAGTCGAAGGGTTGTAGTGCCTGAACTGTCTTCTGGTGTGGCCAGGTAAACACAAGACAAGTCTGCAGTGAATTTTAGTCTGGTGAACTTGATTAAATTGATCAGAAGTATTGTGAATAAAAATTGACTATTTAACAAATGATGGAGTAATTGAACTTGTATATGCAATGGTATCTAGCTGCCTCAGTGTTTTCTGACCTGTAGCATAAGATTACAGTATGTTTCAACTCCATTTTTTCCTGCCATTATATGGCATTTTATGGCTGGGACACTGACCTAATCCATTAGGTGCCTGAGGTGAATTTTGGTTTCTAAACCGGAACATTATTTTGTTCAGTAATTAACTCTTGTGATGATTCTTATATCAATAAGTCAGAAATCCCCTACTAGCCACAGTCAAACATAAACTGCTCTAGCTTTTTGAAATAAGATTGAATTCTTACTTTGTTCAGAAAGGGTAATTTTGAAGCCATATTCTGACTGTAAAGAGAAGAACTACTGTTCAAAGGACGTTATAAATGCCGAATGCTTATTTCTTGATTTGGAATGGATCTTCTCAGTTGTAGTATTTTGCTTTAAAGTTAACATCTCAATTTTCTTTTTTCAGTAGGCAGGAAGAATGGAGAACGGCAAAGGGAGAAGAGGAAGTAAGGGTGTATCGGTCGGAAGAGAAAAGAAAACACATAACGAGTCACATTCAAAGAGAAAACAAAATACCTACTTTCTCTAAGGTAAATAGTCACTTGTACCTTATTGCAATAAGAAGCATTAAATTTTAACTCAATGTGTTAGGCCATATAAATTTTAAATTCCTCCTCTTAGTTGTAAATTTAAAAAGCAGAGGTTTGTTTACCTCCCCAAAATGAGGAAGCATGTCTCTACTGATGTTTCACTGTATTCTGAATAAACAATGGGGATTGCTTTTAGAACACCCTAAATGAGAAGCCCTGCAAATCTGGTGTTAGGGACATGATTTGCTGTAGGGAGTCTGTCACTATTAATCAATACATTTTGCTACTGTTGTCTACTGTTTGACATACTGTTCTGGGGAAAGGTTCGATTAAAACTCAAGTCACAGTTCTTAACTGTAACACATTTAAATACATCTCCAAATACAGAATTAGGTATTTTCTCTCTTAGTACCCCAATAATCATATTGAGGTTTTGTATGGGGTATTTCTAAGTCCTAGTTTTTGCTAGAGCTGGAGTATATTTCTCAGAAAAGAAGAAAACAGGATAGACAAAATAGAAGGGAATGAGTTGTATTAAAAAGGAAATTGTCATAACTGACGATGTTTTCATATAACTTGCAAAATGTAATCTTATGCCTTTATATGCTGGTAAGAAAATGTGAAGGATGTATATTCTATATTTACAAAAATCATTTTACATTGTTTGTTAGAAATTAGTTTTATCTATGCATCTTATGCTCATCTGTGCTTTTCTAGCTAAATAACCAACTATATTTTGTAATAAAGGAAGTAAATTTTAGACAACTGTAAAGAAGAACCCATGCTTTGGGTTTTGTAGTATGTTTACTTTATTGTTTCACCCTTAGTCAAAAGCGTAGTAAACTACAGGCCTTAGAGAATGCCTGCAAATTGTCCATTGAAATGTAAAAATCACTTATGGGGTTCAAGGTGGAAAAATGAAGAAATGAAATACTTAAGAACAAGTATACAAAAGACTGTGCAGCTCTTAACTTTATCAGAGTACCATACTTAATGCCTGTGCTATGTATTATTCACTTTCTTGGGGAGGAAGGGATGAAGATTGAAAGCAATCTGAAAATAAGTAAATTTCACATGCTTAGTGCATCTCAAATTAGTGCTTCTGTATTGTTTAATAATGATGAATGAATTTTATATGCAATCGAAAGAGTAAATTTGAGATGGGCAAGTTTCTACTTGATACTAAATTTGAGTGTTAAGTTTTGCTTCTTTTTCCATACTCAACCAAAGTAAAGCTGTCCAAAGACGGGAGATGAACACTCCCCAACCCCCAAACAGTCCCCTAATAATTTTCAATTTCTTTATTAAATTTCTTAATTTTTTCTTCAATTTCTTCCTTATATTAAAATTGTGTGCATTGCTATCTTAAGAAATGATACTGATACGCTAATTTCAATGCTGCAGTCACTATCATTAAGTGTGTTTGCCCAAGATAAAGCAAACAAATATTTTTTCATTGTATCTCCAGTTTTTGTACATGGAGGGAAGAAGCTCTATGCTACTTAAGGTTTTGGAGGTGGCCGTGGCAGGGCTCATTAATGAAATACCAGGACATCAGAAATCTTTAACTCTTATTTTTCTCTCGGGAATAATAGAAAATGGGCCTCACAAATTCAGATTTTAACAAAGTTATTTCTTGTCTTGAGGGGATGTGTTTTAGTGCTGAATTATAGACTTCCTTTTAGCTTAATTAAATGATTGCACTGCTCAAGGGTTTCTTTTTTTTTCTTTTCTTTTTCTTGAGCTACAGCCTAGTCAAAAGATCCTTCCTGATAATGTGAGTTCATACCAACTTACCCTTAAATTTCTAATTGGGTTACCATTTTCCTAAAATATCACTAGGATGTAAAAATAGCAGGGTAAGCTAGTTGGTCCAGTATTTTGGTTTCAGCAATTACTTTTATTCCATCTTTGAAACAAAGTAACTTAATATGGATGTTTTTGAAAATGTTTCCTCAGAGGAGAAATTTTTTTAGTCTCCAAACTTGAAAGGTAGCACTGGATCCTTTTGAGCCCCATATTTTTTTTTGTGGATATTTATGCCCTTAAAATCCTTCAGAGCAAAAGCTAGCTTAGGAAAACCTTTCTTCAGTTTCATATATTTACCCAGAGAAGAATGTGTCCTTCATTTATCTCAGTCCCTAGAGGGTCTGTGATCTGGATTCTGATGCCCAGAATGTGAGGGAAAGATAACTTGGTAAATCCTTTAGTCACTTCCCACCTTCGTCCTGAGGAAATGCAGCAAAAAGCAGACAGTCATGGTCTCTGCAATTGAATATTTCAGTAAATTTTCCATATAGAAATTATTGCAGAATTCACTAACACTATCAGAACATTTAAATAAGTCCTTTTTAAACCCTACAGAATACTTTTTTATGGCATCTTGGAACAAAAACCTCATACTCTTCCACAGTTTATTCTTCATTAAATGTGTCTCTTTTTGGAGGACTCGGGTTGTTGAGAAGTACAGTAATTCAAATCCTTTGAGATAAATCTCAGGGGGATTCAGAAATGAGTAGGTATCAGATGAGCTTTAAATAAACAAGTTTGCAAGAAGACAACGGTGCTTGATCCCAAGTGATTTGAATCTCCCAAATAAATAAAGCTGCTCAGATTTTAGCAATTTTCATTGTTGCTTATGGTTAGCATGAGCAACGCTTTTGCTCAGTAGTGTCTGAACAATAGGAATGGTGAATTGGAATTGTCGTCTTCTGTAGTGTCCATAATAAACACCCACCTTGGAAGACAAGCAAGACTCACTGCACTCCAAAAACTGTTGTGTTCTATTTTTAGGGTTTTTTTTAAATAGAAATTAGTAACTTAATTATGTCAGCTCTTCTGTTGCTGTTCTTTACAGTGACGATGTGGCTTTAAATACAAGCTGTGTTAGGTTGAAGATAGAACTGGAAAGTACCGTACAAGTCTTCCTTTTCCTTTAGTGCATGCAGTAGGTTTTCATAATAATACCTTGTAATTACAGTAGTCTTGCGAGACTACAGTCCTTTTGTGTTGCATAGTGAATTCTTAAGGGTTTAATGAGAGAATTTCTGATCTAGAAGAGATGGGGAACACTTCAAAATACAGGGGAAAGCATTATCTTCTAGTAACCTATAGACCTAAGAATTACAGCGTCAAGAATTCTGGAAAGTATGTCATTCTACAGTACTGTCAGCTGGTGTGGGAACAGAGTAAACAGGGCTTGTATTAAAACATTGTCCTCATATGCAAATTCAGTTGTATTCATAGCAGTAAGAAGTAGTAATTTTTATATCAACTTTTGAAATTTATCAGTTCTGTTCATATGATAACGATAAAATAATATTTTTCTTCTGTTCCCTTCTAACTGAAAGGAGTCAAAAATACACAAGTAAAATGAAAAGGAGGGCAGGAACAAATGTTAGCATTTTGGATTATGAGCTAAAGTGTAGGTCAGTAAGGAAGAACACAGAGCAACTGTAATTACTTTTTGAGGAGATTCCAAAGTCCTATTACTAATATTTAGTCCAGGGTCATTATAGGTTATGTTAAAAGTAGTACAGAATTATAGCTTAGTCTTTCTTCTTTAACAGTATCTGCAACTTAGATGGAAGTCACATAAGTGTTCTGGTATTTAAAGTTAGAAGCCCCATATTTCTTTGACACAGGTCACACTGGAAGTGTTTGTATGTGATTGCTTGAGGGACTAATGGAGTTGTGTGGGAAAGCCTAAAAGCTTGGGTATTTTGACCTGAATAGTATTTAGTATCACTAATCTGGGTGTTGAATGAAGAACTCATTTTGACTTTCAAAGTCATTGGTGAGGAATAGGGTTTTCTCTGATCATTATTAAACAAAAACACTTTAAAAAACCAAACCAAAAACCCTAATGGCAGAGGATAGAATGTGGCATTGGAATTTTTGCATTTCCAAAGTGGAACTGTATTTCAAATTATTTTTTTTTCCCAGGTGCATGCCAAAGATGAGAAGTGAGGTAAATAACATGCTTAGGTAAATGTTCCCAGTCTGAGTAATTAGAGTATTAGTTTATTAAACTACTGGGATGACAGAGCATTTTAATAAATATTAAAAGAGCATGAAATTTCTGTATGCTAGAGGGTTGATGTGGTGTGTGTTGTAGTAAAAAAAAAAAAAAAAAAGACAAAAATGGAAATCTTTTAGTTACCATTAAGTGGAAATTAGAAGCAGAAATTTCAGAGAATTAAGATTGGAGATTGTTGTGGATGGACAAAAGTAAGCGTAGGCCTCTGTTGTGACAGGTGCAAATGACTGTATTGGAAACTAACAGAAACCAGTGACGAGAAATGTGTGTGCTGTGTTGCTGAAGGTGGCTTAGTTGTGTTTCTCAAAAGTAGTAATTTTTCCACTTACATGTTATTTAAACACTTCCAGATAAATTGGCAAGATGTTAAGAGAAAAATAATGTAAAACCCAAAAGACTAGCACTTGGTGCCTAGTGTCTGTTATCTTCACTGCTTTTGGAAAGTTCTCAGTAATTTCTTACATGTATGTGATGTGGTAAGAGTAGAAACTAAGTAATTACAAGTACTGACCCAAACTTGAGGAGAATATGGAAGGATGCTCTTTAGCCAAAGAGAAAATGACAGAACAAGAGGCAGTGGGCACAAACTGCTGAAACAGAGGAAGTTTTGCCTGAACTTAAGGAAGCACTTCATGGTGAGGGTGACTGAGCACGGAGTGAGGCTGTGGAGTGTCCAACCTTGGAGATACTCAAAAGCTGTCTGGACATGATCCTGGGCAAATGGCTCTGGGTGGCTCTGCTTGAGCAGGGGGTTTTGACAAGATGACCTCCAGCTGTGCCTTCCAATCTCAACCATTCTGTGAAATAAAAACTGCTTTTATGCACTGACAGCTTGGGGGATTTGTTGTATTTGTCGTCTGGGGAGAACTCATGGTCATTGAAGAGTGTTAAATTTGGACAAAGGTATATATTAATGACATCTGTAATGCAAAAATATTTCAGTAAGGAAAAATTTAAGTTCAGAGATAAATGTGGGCTTGAATAATTTAAATAGCCTATCTAGTCAAGAATGAAAACAGTTATGTAGGCTACTTGACAATTTGATTTTTTTTCAGCATAACATTTCAAATGTAATGTTCTGAAAAGTATACGCAGACAAAAAAGCCAAAGTTTCCTTCATTTGCCTTAAAGAGGCTGTGAACGTCTATTTAATGTTGGGGTTCTGATACTGGACATATGCTTGTGCCCTGCCCCTGTTTAACTTTGTAGTAGCGGCTAATTCCAGTTGTCTCAAGGAAGGAGGAACCATTTTCAAATAAAGAGCAGATACTGCTGGTGAAGAAATACTATGAGACAGCTATAGCTAAAGCTTTCCAAAATTGCTGTGGCCCTGTATGAAAGTGCAGCAAAACTGTGTTTCCTGGTGGAGTCAGGGTCGTAAGGACAGAGAATGTGCAGTCGTCTGAGTTGTCAGGACACCACTGAGTTTCTGCAAATGGTGTTACAAAGACCCTCAGCAGTGTCCAGATGACATGTTTGTATCTATCCCTCTCAAATACAGGAAATGCAATCATTTGTATTTTGCAGAAAAACTGTTCTGACAGCAGCTGTAATTTCTAATGTATCTATAGATGTGCTCTGATATTGACTGGAAGCCTAGGATATGATACAAGGTACTTGTCAGCATATATCACTGTTCATCAGATTGTATGGAGAGAGAAAGAGGTGATTGAACCTCAAATCACAGGTTATCATGGCTTTATTTCTGAGCCTTCCATTAGAGTTGAGAGTCCCAATTTCAAAATCTTTCTTTAGGATATATATATATCTATATCTTGGAGGATGGGGAAGACCAACTGTGTTTCCTCAGTCAATGTTGAGCATGTTGGTGATAGATTCCATTTTGTCAGAAAAAGCTTGTAATACTTTATCTTTTTAGTCAAAACTCCACACTCCCCACCCCTCCCCCAAAGAAGTAAAGGACTGCCTGACTTGCAGGTTCTCATCAGATTTTGGCAAAGTTGTGCTGAATAGGAGTGATGGTAAAATACATTTTTTTACAAGATGTGGAAGATGTACGTATACCTTACGGTCCGTTTTCTGGTCCCTGCTTGAGCAGTGAGGTTGGACAAGGTGACATCCAGAGGTCCCTTCCAACTTCAATCATTCTGTCATTCTGTTACGGATAATTACTTGTGGTTTTGTTTTCGTGGTTTTTTTTCTCCATTCTTCTTTTGGCATTGCATCTTTCACAAAGCAGTTTGGTACCCTTTGGCATCATTATGGCCCAGTATTTATACAGTGATGTTACTTGCTTTCATGAAGGAATAATCTTCTGGGGGGTTTGGGGCTGGTTTGTTGTTTTGTTTTTTTCCCCCTCAAGCTTTGAATTGCCAAAAGAGAAGAACTCTTTCCAAAACCAAAGCATAATGCAAAGTGCTTCAGTTTTCCAGGGATCCATAGTTGTAGTATAAGTAGGGAGAAGCTGTATTTATAATAACCATTTGAGAAATCTCACCTCTGAATAGAAATGGGGATGTAAATTTTTAGGACTTTTGTTTCTAGAGAGAAGACATGAGCATTACAGTCAGGCTGTAACGTAGCTTCTGCAAAATACATCCTCATTATTGTGAAGGATACTTGACTAATTTGTTTCATTGGGCATATGTGATTACATTCTGTTGCCCATGCTTCCTCATACCACGTTTCATGATGCTAAGAGGCAGATGGGCTTTATAATAAAAAAGTCACAATTCAGTAGCAGCAGCAAGTTGCTGTAACGCTGGCTTCTGTGACCTCTCTGCTTCAGCAGTGAATCTTGAGAGCATGACGAGAAGTGAGCAGCCCCAGAAGGCTGAGGGACAGAAGGCTGTGTGATGGGCTCAGCCACTAGTCTTAGGGCTGCCTCAGAGCTGTACTGGGTCAGGTCAGAGCAGCTCCAGGAGATCTGGTATGTGCTGCCAGTTTAAATCCAGAAGAAGAAATGCCCCAGGTCTCAAAAATCTTGGGCAATGTTAAAATGCTGATTGCTGAGCAGTCCCATTAGAAGTGTCGCTGGTAGCTGTGCTCTCAATGGGAGCTTCCCCAGCTTGAATTCACTGGACAGAACAACAGAAACACAGTGCTCACTGAATAGAGCATAGAGCAGTTTGTGTTGGTCCCATGTGTTTTATTGAAAACTGTAACGCAGTTGCACAGATTGGCGGGCTGGCCTACCCTACTAAACTGTTGCAGTCATGCCTGAAAAAGATGTGTATCTTCTGACAGGGAGGGTAGACGAAAAGCTTTAGCTGTCAGAGTTCTGCATTTTAAGGAAAATTGTTGTGGCTAAGGAAACCCAAATCTTAGCTACTGCTGCTTAGCCAAGTTTCAGTATGGTTTTCACCAAAAAGTGGGTGTGTTCTTTTTTTTTTTTTTTCCCCTTGACAAGAAAATGTAACTTCATGAACCAACTTTCATAGTACATGACAGAAAAGACCTTCTCTTTCCTACAAAAGAAAAAAATCCAAGAGTAATAGGTACAAGCAGTCTGCCCTTCTAGAAAGCTCTGATATTAGTATCTTTCTGTGGTTTACTCCAGTTCTGCTTGCTTCATTTCTGGGACTGTTTTCTCAACCGTATCAGCACCTAATAGGTACCTGAGGTTTCCTTTATGGAAGAAGGAGAGTACTGGGGAAGTGTACCTCCTTTTGTGGCATCTAGAAATGTCTCCAGAAACTATTTCAATGGATCTGACCTAGGCTAAAGTTCAAATATGCATGCCGAAAAAATTAGCACAAAACTCTTGAAATAGAGATCATAGCTCTTTACTTTTTTGCCAGGGGTCAGGGATTAATACAAGATTACACACTTTGTGTTGGGAGCAAGTGTTTGCGTTATGTTTATTCTGCAGGAGGGGCAAAATCTCTTTGTGCTGGGGTGTGAAGTGTTTCTTAATTACCGCCTTATTTCATTATTCTAATCTTCATAAGAACTCAGATTCTTTCCAACTGACTCATTCATTTGAACTCTTCCATGCATCATCATACCATGTAAAGGCCTTTACTTGCTAACAGTCATCTCTGTATGCTAAGGGATGTTATTATTGTATGGGTCTCTCTTCTACCAGGTCGGACCCCTCAGCCGCAAAATAACACACTTTGGGTTCTCTGTAAGAGTCCCCTTTTCTCTAATGGCCATTTTTAGTGTAATTTTGAGCTGTTACAAGCTCTTAGCACCCTATCAGTAGTTAACTGATACATACCTTGCAGAGAACGAAGAGTTCTAATAATCAAAGATAAAAATTTTCTATTATATCTGGGAAGAAATTTTAATTATTTCCAGAATATACTGAACTGCTTGGTGCTTACATCTAACTATGCATGTGGAGTGTTTTCTTCAGCAGCTTTTTAATTTTGGACTTGTAGGATGTGATGGTGAAACTTTTATCTTTTTGCTACTGCAAAAGTTGCTTTCTGGAATACTATTGTTAAAGAAAATGCTATGTATTAATAAAATGTATACTAAAAAATGATGTATTTTGACTTTTGTGTGTTCACAGAACCACTGTCATGATCATTTACTAGACACCAGTGACTCAAGAAAACAACAAGCTAATCAGCACAACTACCGTACGAGATACGCGGTAGAAGAAACTGCAAGGCCTGCTGAAGAGTTAGAAAATGGGCACAGTTCCTCAGATGTAAGATCCTTATTCATGAGGCAATCTTATATATTCCATTTCTACTCGTTAAGCTCGTGCTTCAGCTAATTAAACATTGTTTCTAGTGGAAACTCAGGTTACATTTTTCATTGTGCATTTTCTTTCACCTCTTCAAAAAATTATGTTGAAATGTCGAATTAGATTTTCACATGCTGTTGTATGTGTTTAGTTTTGACTAAAAAGTAATTGACAAAAGGGAGAACTGCTCATTTGTAAGGGCATTTTGCAAAGTGTATGTGTGCGATGTTAAATCTTCCCTGTATTTGTAAACCTGTATCAGTATGACCCATATGGCCTAGCAGGTATGGTCACCGGCTTTAGGTGGCCCTGCTAGAACAGGGAGGTTGGATAATACGACCTCCAGAGGTCCCGTCTAGCCTCAACCATGCTGTGCTTCTGTAGCTACAGTAGAGAAATGAGTAATAAGAGTATATAAAGTTTGTACTGGGTTTTTCTTTGATGTTGATTGAAAAGATGTGGAAATACTATATTAAAAGGTTTAGAAATAATTTTCAAAAAGGTAAGCTAGCCTTTTTAAATGGAGATTAAGAGGCACTCAGGTCTCCACTGGCTATGTGTTAAAAAAAATGTTGCTCTACACTGTGTGTCTGTCCAGGCATAGATATTTTCTCACTTCTTTTCATTTAATTAAGTCCATTAAAGTAAAGTAACTACCTGCAAACTAAAATGCCTTTTTAACAACATAAAGCTTTTATAATGCTATGTGTTTGTAACATGTAAAAAGCCTAGAAGAGTCTTAGTCATATTGTCACATATTACAACTTTTTTGAGTTCCAAAGTAAATGCTTTCTTTTTCCCTGTCTCCCCCTCTGCACTTGTGCCCCTTGCCCGCCCCCCCCCCCCCCTTTGTTAGGAAGGAGAAGTAGTTGTTGCGAGTGGTGGAACATCAGAAGATGATGAAAGAGCGTGGCACAGTGATGGCAGTTCTAGGTGAGTGACAGTGTATCTTACAAAGAAGAGTCCTGCTGATAAATTTTAAATAATCTTCTCTGTCAACAGTTAATAAGTAATAACTAAAACTTGTGCACATTTGGAAGAAAAGATGAAATAGAACTTAAAACTTTCAGGATGTAATATCCAGCTACATTACTAACTAAAACTTAGGGAAGGTTTCATCCTTGTTTGCCACAAGCAGATTGTTTCCGATTGGTTTTGCAGGAGAGTAGTTCTTTGCAGGCACATGCACACTTCAGGCAAGTGGTAGCAGTTTCCTATGACTGTCAGTCTGAGCTGTGTGTCTGCCTCTGCTGGCCCTTGGTTTGAAATTAGAGAGCAAAGATTGATGTAGCTTCAACCTGTCCTTTGTTTCTTCTTTAGCGGATTTATTTTCTGTTAACTTCTGTTCAAAGCTATTCAGAACCAGAAGTCCTGACAACAATATCCAGAGTTTATCATGTATCATCTTGAATTGACCAAGTAAACAGTGGATTTACTTCTAGTGATGCTAGGAGTTAAGCTTCTTGCAAGAATGAAGATCTCAAGGCTTTTGGTTTACTACCGTTTAAGTTGTAGATACAATATAGGGTTTTAGGCACTGGTTTTAACTGTTAAAATATTGTAGTTATCTAGACTGTTAACTGTAATCTTGTATTGGGTTATATTATATAATTCAATGCACTCTGAATTGCTTTTTAACTTTTGTTTTTCAATTTCCTTTTTTTCTTTGCTATATCATACGTAGTGACTACTCTAGTGATTATTCTGACTGGACAGCAGATGCAGGAATCAATTTGCAACCACCAAAGAAAATTCCTAAAATTAAAACAAAGAAAGCAGAAAGTAGTTCAGAGGATGAAGAAGGACCTGAAAAACAAAAGAAGCAAATGAAAAAGGAAAGGAAAAAAGGTATTGAGGAGAAAGATGGACCATCAACATCACCAAAGAAGAGGAAACCCAAAGAGAGAAAACAAAAGGTTAGATGTTGTTTGTATATTACAGGATGCTCAGTCCTACTGTCTTAGAATTAGATGAATGATTCAGTTATGTATATAACTTAATATTGTCTAATTTGAAAACACATCATGACTTTTACTCATCATAAATGATAATTACTGACCTTTGTAAGTCAAATAATAGATTGCTGTAATGATACGCTTTCTAAATATGATGCGTTTCACTTAAGGAACACTTTAATGTCCTTAGCACCATCTTTCCTCAGACCAGAAACTTCCTTTCTATGGATGTATTTAGTAGTGGTGTAACATGTGTTTGTATTTTTTTCAGCTGTACTGTCTTCCCGCTTAATTGCAATTTCTTTTAGGTCTGTGCAATCGTGTCATTTTTTTCTGTCAATTCCACCATGTATGATACTTGCATTATGCTTGCCACTATACTTCATCAAGGGGATTTTCACTTGATCAGGGTTTTATTGTTGTCTGTATTTTGTTTGCTTTCTAATACAATGACATCATTCCAGTTTACATCAGTACATGGAAATTTTCAGTGACTTTTGTTAATTTCAGTGTGTTTTTTGGGGGGTTGTTTTGTTTTTAATTAAGCATTAGATCAGAAAACTTTGTTTCTTCATTCTTTCTTTACAGAGCCCAGAAGTGGTTTATCCGGTAGATACTAATTGCTTTCATAAGCTCATAGCTTCTATTTTTGCAATACCCAATGAAACCAACTGTAACATCTAAGAAACTAAATAACTGTATTTTGTATATTAATAAGATTAGTAGTCATCAGCATTCCTTAAGATGGTTATTTCAGCCCTCGTTAGAAGGCAGACTTACAAAACAGCTGTTTTAATATGCAGGTTGGAATAGTCTCAGCTTTACTGTGAATCTTTGGTATGACGTGCAGGAAGTCAGGTGGTAGTCTTTACTCTGATTAAGCTACTTTTTGTGTATTGTACGCAGTCATTGGTTGTAGTGTCAATACTAATACTATCTTGGTATTTACACAGTCTGAAACCAGAAGAAGGTATGAGATCACAAAATAGATGGTGTGGTGGGTTTGGTTTTTTTCTTTTCTTTTATTTTTTTTTAAATGGTTGAAACATCTACTATGGCTTTTTATTTTAAGATATGAGACTAGTATATCCACTTAGATTAAAGCCGAACTGAGTGTTTTGGGAATCTTGCATCCGTTTTGGTCCCAGTTATCGAGATACAGGAGGTCTTTGATTTCAAAAATATCTGACTTGGATATTTCAGATTTTTAAAGATGACCTGCTCCTTTCTTGAATCACAAGAAAATGCTAGGCTGGAAGGAATATCAGAAAATCATCCCTCTTCCCTCTGCCCCTAGGTAGGATTAATTATACCTGTCATTCCTGACAGGTATTTGTCTTTGACGTTTCTTGTGGTGGAGAGTCTACCTCCTTACTGGGCAGAGAGCTCACAGTCCTTACCAGTAGAAAGTTATTCCTGAACCTGAATCAAAATTAGGGCTTTTCCATTGAGGAAAGAAGTTTTGACCATCTTTGTAGCTAGGCACAGAATCTTAGGAATTAAGAAAGGAGTAGAGAAAGAATGTCATTCTTCTCTAGTAATGCATGGACTGTCGAGATTTTGAATGGTGTTTACATTTCTAATCCCCCTCCACCAAAAATCAATCTAAAAAATGATACAGCAGTGAAGAAGGGCGAGAAAGGAGCACCCAGGAAGATCAAAGGGTACAGAGTATTTTTTCTTCGGGGCAGACACAAAGAGGCTGACTCTTAGAAGGGAGAGAGTTTGGAGGAGATATTATTAAAAAACTTACATAAAAATATGAATGGTTTAGAAATGAATAAATGCAGAATGATTTCCTTCCTTATTTTGTTGCAGTGGGATGTAACACCCAATGACACAGACATGAAGCTCAAAAAAGAGCCCTTTCCCCATTCCACCCCCACCGCCTGAAAGCAAACAAAAACCCCAAACCACCTGAGCATGTAATCAGGTTGTGGAACTAATTACTAAAGGATTTAGTAGAGTTTCAGAAATTATTAGACAACTTCACTGGGACTAGTCTCTTCCTGATGATTAACTGAGTTCAGGGTTGGCTTCCAGAGGGTCTTAAACTGATAATTAATGTGTGAAGTTATAACAAGGGAAGATTTTCTGTTTAAAGGCTGTTTCTTACTACCTTCCCATAATTCCCCAATGAGCTAGACAGGCTTTGCTCTGATGCAGTGCATCAGTTTTTCACAGGACAGAACTGCTTGAACCTCAGAATCCACAAGGTGCTTCTGTGTTAGTGATTTATTGCAATGAAGAGGTTCTGTTTTGATTTGTTTGGTTTTTTTTAACTGTGTGTATGCTTTTTCCAGTGGTACCCACTGGTGCTCCAGTGGTGCACTCAAAGCCATTCCCATCCTGGTGAAACCACATTTGAATTTGTGCATTGAAGTTATAGTTGGAGTATCCCATTTGCAGTCTGAGGATGCAGAGTCTTCCATCAGTGGCTATATGGAGTGCATTTCTGTACAACTGTCCAAGGTTGCTTTCTGTACACACACAAGATTCTGTTAATAACTTCAAAGCAACCTTGCTTGAATGGTTGTACAAAAACCTGCTTTATCTGGCCTATTAGATACAGACATGCAGCGAGCACCTAGGAGCAGCAACTGCAGTGAGCTTCCTTACAAATACATAATGTGGATGTACCATTTGAAAACGCAGTTCCACAGCACATTGTAGTAAATATGCCAGTGGGTAACGTGGATGTACCCAATCTGGGTCATTTCCACATGCTTTACCTCTGTTTATGTTAGTTAATCTCTTCCTCCTCATTTTGTGGGGTTCCCTAATTGAAGGCAGCTGTATAGTTGTAGTGTTTTATGGTCCAAGGCAACTGTGAATTTGGTTAAAGAGAATGGCATATTTCAGTTTTATCTTTTTGGGCATGAGATGTAGTTACTGGAGTGTTAATGAATTTAGTCTTCGTTAGAAGAGTGCCACCACCAGCCCCAAAACCAATAAACTGGAAAAAACCCTAAAAAAACTCACTTAGTTTTTCAGTTTATTAGTGGTTTTGGTCTTGGTGTTACTGTAAGCAGTTAAGTAAGATTTATCTTCACACTGGCAATAATTTCCTTTTTACATTAAATATACTTAAGAAATAGAAGTTGATTTTAATAAAACACTTCCCAAAATAGAAGGCTTCCCCAAATGTTAGTTTATTCATATTAATCTTCTGTGTGCATTTTTCTTCAGAGGCTGGCTGTAGGAGTTCTGGCAGAAAATGGTTTGACACTGGAAGAATGGCTGCCTTCAGCATGGATTACAGACACTGTTCCTCGTCGGTGCCCATTTGTGCCACAGATGGGAGATGAGGTATTGTAGTTTTTCCCTCTGTGTTGTTGCTTCTTTCAGCTCGTTTTTGCCTTTTTTATTTTCATCTGTGCATTTTTTCCAGAGATTTATTATCGGAATATTTTGGATTTTCTTCAAGACATTCTTTGATCTGGCTAAAATTTGCTTTCACTTCCTTTAGTCTTTCCCATACTTAAAAAATACTCTGCACAGTGTTGTTATAACTTGTTTTTATTCCATGCTGTTGCAGTAACATTCCTTTTCGTACTATGGTTACTGTGTTAATTTCCTAATGACACATGTATACAAGCTGTGTGAGATACTTTATCTAGTGAAACTAGTCCTTAGTTGTAGAGCGTCTTGTATGCTGAAGAATAGGTAAGAAAGCAAATACAAACTTAAGTTGTTTGGAAAACTACGGTTTGGGACTTGAAGTAAAAAACGGGAATTAAACCTCTGTGAGGAGGGTGGCTTTTTGTGTATGGGGTTGTTTTGGTGGGGTTTTTTTGGTTTTGTGGCGGGGGTGTTTTTGTTTGGTTTTTTTTATTTATTCTGAAGAAAAACTCTAATATTGTCCTTTTCACTTGTGTTTCTGATATCAGAAAACTTCTACTGGTCTCTTACAACAGAAAACCAGAAGCGAAGTTTTGTATATATGTGTTTTATATGAGCTAGACTGTAAACACTTTGTAAACATGGCCCAGATGTCTCAAAATACAGTAGCAAAAGGACACCCACCAGTTTCTACTTTGGAATATATAGCATGTGACCATTACAGTGAATTGTATGAATAAATAGTGTCAGATAGAAGGCAATCTTGAAAACCAGACTCTGTGCATGTTTCCTAAAATCCCCTCAGTTTAAAATAAGAGGAAATAGCTAGCTTATGCTGTAACGTGTAGTCTCTTGGCTCTTCAGGGAGCAGCGCGTTTCTGAGGTACTAAACAGCATTCTTGTATAGCTCACACCTTCAGAACGCACTTGGAGAAATACTTGACATGGTGGTGAAGTTGCTTAACTTTGGCCCTGAGTTAGAGCTTTTTGTAGGCACCGCCTTAGAAACTGAATTGGGAGCAGAGGTTGCATGTGCAAGCAGTTCTGTTTTTACTGGATCACTTCGCTGATGCAGTTCACAGCACAGCTATGCAAAAATTACATCGACATTGCTGGTGAGGGAGGGAAGGAACACTTCAAGTTGAGAGTTGCAACTGGAGAAAATGCTTATGTATTTATACCCTCCAGCAAGCATGTTTTGAAGACTGTGCTGTTCAGAAGATCAAGTCCAAATAAATATATTTGGTGCCTGATACCATCTGGATACAGTGAAGCAGCCAAGGATTTATCTGTACCATATTACTCTGGAGGCTTTAACATCGTATCGGTTTAGTAAGATAAACTGGTCTGTTTGGTTTGGCACCTGCTGAATAGCATGTGCAGTGTGTACTAGGAATATCTGAGTAGGCTGCATCCTTTTGCTGAAAAATGCTTTGTATTGGTGAACAGGAAATTCCTGTCCTGTGCCTAGAAAGTAGGAGTAGTTACACCAATAGAGAGTACATTTGTAATCAAGCTGCTCTGTCTAAAATTCCATCTCTGATACTTGCCCTTCCCAGATTTGCTTGAGATGTGAAAAGAAGCTATTCATCTAGAAAGTTACTTTTGAGAGCCACAGAAATAAAAGATCGGTTTTAGAGAAATATGATGAGAAGAGGTCTCGTGTGGCCTTCGAACATTTTGGTGGATGGTTGGTATGTTTTATAAGATTTGGGAGGAGAGATATTTCAAATTCGTTCTCTTACAGCTGTACAAACAAGTAAGAAAAAACAGTAGTGCTATATTTAGTTATACTCAGTGCATAAGACTAGCACATACCATCCCTTTTCCCTTTCTGAATACTGCCATTTACAGACCTTTTTGATATGTCTTGAGGAGCAGTGGAAACACACCAGACACATCGGATTGCAATTTCCCTGTCTGATTATTGAAATACATTGCATATTTGTTGTAGTATTCTGCCATTAACACGATAAAGAACAGTTTTGTCTGAGTACTCCAACAAACATGCAGAAGCAGGAATTTATCAAGATTAAAAATAATAATTTCCTGGAAAAAGGCGTAAGTTCTTTCTTCCACAGATATCTTTCTAATTTGTTCGTCTGACAACAGATGCAATGCTTAGAGCCATTTACAAAATAAAAATGTTTTACTTCTGTAAACAGTGGTTTGAATTTATGTAGAGGTTTAGCAGAAACAGTAAGTGTAGGAGGAATTGTTTGTAGCCTGTGCCACTAAGTGGATTTTTTTTGTTTTGATTTGCTGGAAGGTATGTGAAACAATTGTCACAATGTTGCAAGTGTAATTTAAATTGGCGATATTTTAGATCTGTCTCTTGGTAGCCTCTGTTCCTTTTCCTGCCAGTTAGATTCTGACAGTGCATAGGAGATTCTCACTGCTTTCATGCCTTCTGTAACTACTGTGCGTTTTTTCCCTATGAGGATATTTTGCATGTCGAATACTCTGAAAAACAAGAGTTTATAAAAAATTTGGTGCTGTCCTCCTCCATTTAAAAAAAAAAAAACAACCAAAATTAAGAAAGTTCAGTAACTGTTAATGTAGAAACTTGACAGACAGTTGTTTATAATGTCTTATGATACAACAGTTTTGGAAGGCATGTGGAAATACAAATATTAGTGTGTTTATTTGTAGAAATTTATTTTAAAACTTACTGAGGGCTTTTTACTCTGCTTTTTTTGTTGTGTTAGACCTTTACATTTAAGCTACTGTTCCCTCATCCTACTTGATGGAAAGCCTGTGTTTATGGCTTGGGGCACTTTTAGAGGATTTTTTTTATTTGGAATGCATCATACCTGGAATACAGCTGTTTATCAGATCTTTGTTCTAATTAGTTTGAGGAACATCTGTTTTGCATTTCAGATATGTTCCTTGAATATATGTTCAAGCTTTTCACCTTACTACTTCATTACAGTGATGGTTTATAACAAAAACATTCATCCACATGGATCATACACAATAAGATCAAAGTAAAACTAATAGACTCTGGATGTCTGAACCGTGGAAATTTAGAGTGGAAGAATTTGAAAATTTTTAATCAGCACTTGAAATGTCTATGTTCAGTTTGTTCATGTCTTTATTGGGCTGTTTGTTCAGTGATATGGAAGCGAACATCAAAATCTTACCAGAACAATAACGAACAGCTGAGTTTTCCTTCTAGAATATATTTCTTGTTCAAAAAAAGATATGATTAGCCAGATAGTGAATTTAGTGATACTTGATTGTCATCTTAGGGCTGTCCTACAGTGATGAATAACCAGGTGGATTAGTGGAATTCATGTTACTGTCATTGAATTGTTCTGTAGTGTGATGATAAATACATGATGTTGTTACTGATTTTGTTTTGGTCTCACATGCATAATTTAGGATATTTTGCTCATAGGGAAAATGGTGTTCTAAATCTTTCCTACTTCTGTAAATGTTTCTATGATACTGGCTTTAATTGTCCACCACTTAATTTTTTGAGAACCTGTCACTTTTTCAGGAAAACAGAATGGAAAAAAATTGATGATAAAATAGAAAGTACACACATCATATGGCAGTGATATACTAGCATTTCAGCTCCTCAGAGTCTTTGTTAGATAACTGTCACATTTCATTTCTAGGTCTACTATTTCCGACAAGGTCATGAAGCATACGTTGTAATGGCTAAGAAGAACAAAATATATAGTATTAACCCCAAGAAACAACCATGGCATAAAATGGAATTACGAGTATGACTTTTTCATTTTTGTTTGTATCTTTAATATTAAAACATGTTTGGAAACTAACTGAAAGAAGATTCTTGATACAGATGTTTCTAATGTTGTGCTCTTAATATTTTAAGATAAGGCGAAAAAGTTAACTTAATAAATAGTCAAATAAAATCAGACCTTAAACTGTACTACTTTTTGCATCTGCTTGAGCAGATGAGGTGGTTACACATCATAGCAAAATATTTTTCAAACAAGTTACATTGTGAAATAATAGCTTGTTTTAAAAGACTAAATTTCAGATACTTGATTTTGAGATGTTCTGGCAGAAACCTGGTCTTTTCACTATACCCATATTTTCATGTTTTAGAAAGTTATTATAGTCATCTTAACTTCAGTGGTGGTACATAACATATTGTTTATTCCAGGAGCAAGAGCTGATGAAAATAGTTGGGATTAAGTATGAAGTGGGATTGCCTACTCTCTGCTGTCTTAAACTAGCTTTTCTTGACCCTGATACGGGTAAACTAACTGGAGGATCATTCACCATGAAGTAAGGAAAGCAATATTATATTAAAATTGGGGGTTTTCTTGCAGGGGGTGGGGTAAGGTTGAAAGTTAAAAGCTATCATTAATGTTGTGACTTGAGGTTTTGCTTTTGAGGTGTTTAATTCAAAGCATTAATTTTTTATGGAAGTGCTTTACTTTATGCTTTTGCCGTTTAATCGCTTAATAGTGGTGTGTTCTGTTGTAATTAGGTACCATGATATGCCAGATGTCATAGATTTCCTAGTTTTGAGGCAGCAGTTTGATGATGCAAAACATAGGCGATGGAACATAGGTGAGTTGTGCGGGGAGTTTTTTGGTGTGTTTTTTGTTTGTTTTTCTAAGTGTCTTACCTATTTTCATGATAGCTTATTAAAAAGTAGGTTATGGTAAATAAATCCTAGTACTGTGCTGAAATTGGAGAATAAACTCTGTCCATATTTGGATGTGGAGTCCTACTTTGTCCTTGACTGAAGCTACAACAAGCAAACAAAATACTGAAGGTGATCTATAAAAGAAGGTGCAAAGACAATCTCAGTTGTGTCTTTGCAGAGAGGAATTAAGAATACTTTTTTTTTGATTGAAGGCCCTCTTACAACTGCATTGCTACTAGAATTTTTTTATTATTATTATTTCAATTTCTGGAATTTCTGTTGGAAATATGGAAACACCTTCACCACTTGTACAATCTAGAGATGATGAATTTCAAAGAGAATGCCCTTCCCATCTCTTTATACTTGTTTGAATTCTATTCTAAACCGCATATGGTTTAGCTTCATTGAAGTGTATATAATTACAATTCACTGCTGTGTGATGTGGGAATGTTTTTGATTCGTTTTACTTTGCCTGTGCTTAGTTATTTCAAAGTGTTGGATACTGGAGAATGTCCGTGACAGGCATGTTCTCCAGTCAGATCTATTTCCTGGTCATCTTTTCCATATGATAACAAAGATCACCTTTCAACAATGAAATCTAACTAGGGGGAGAGAAAGCTGCGTTATGACAAAATGGTCCTCTTAAGCTGTTGGTTTTGTTCAGGAGATCAGGAAATACGTATGTTCTCATTCATAAGAATAGCCTTAGATTGTCCCTGAAACTTAAAAGATTAAGTAAGTATTACTGATTCTTCAGAGTTCACGATGAACTTTGGTCCCCTAACAGAGAAATTTGTATGTGATACCAAGTTTACAGAATTACAGGCACCGTTAAGTCCTTTCCAGTATCTCAGTATATTCTGTGAAGTGACACATGCTCCCAAAAGTGAAATATTGATAGCCTTCCTTTTTTTTTTTTTTTTTTTTTTTTTTTAAAGCAGGTCTCAATGTTGAACACATTTTCTGTAAAGTAGCAGTGATTACTGTACCAACTCAATTCCTGCAGTTCTTCCATTCAGGAGCTGTAGGTAGCATGTACACAGCTGACTTGCCAGCATTTCTTGCCACTTCAGGCAAAGCATCATATAGGATAATGGAGGATTTTAATGCAAGAACATGATGGTCTATCTGATTGCCTGTGTAGAAACAACTGATAGGACATGCGTTTCTGCAAATATGCTGCCCCATTAGTCTGTGTTCACTATTCTAAAAGTGCTGTCCTCTCCTAAGTTCATTTTAGCTAAGTAACCTGAAGAAGTGGCACAGCTGGATGTTAAAAGCTCTTTTTTTTGTTTCTTACCTGACTTTTCTGCCAGGAAAGGTGAATTGATCTCCTGTCCTTTGATGTACATTGTGATATCCTTGCTTAGGATGTCTGCCTTAGCAGTAAATATATAAATTACATGATGCCATATTAATATGTTCCGTATCATATACTTTACATTACATTGAAAAGACAGCTAGTCTTCAACTCTGTAGGGAATTTGGTAAAGATCCTAGGCTTCTGATTCAATAGGAAATGCAAACCTTGATTCCTTCTTTAAAGATCATTTCAGTTTAAAGATCCCTTAAGAGACAAGATTGGTCATCATCTACTAATATGTCACCAAGCTTTGCTCTTTCCTGCTGGTTGTGGATCTGTGGTCTTGTCCTCCATGCCATACATGTTTTCACACAAGATCATGGCCAGCAGTAGAAGAATGACTGCCATCCCTTGTATGCGAACAGCCTCGGCAGAAGTCATCTGTCAGCTGTTGTGATAGAAATCCAGGAGTAGAGGAGGGACTTTGAAATGCTACCGTTGCTGCTGTTAAGACTACACGCACAGGTAGCAGCATCTCCTTCCTGGGCTGGCAACTGTATTTCTAGAAACTTGTGGTGTGTGAAGAGTCAAAGCTCTACAAGAAGTGTGGAAAGTGCCAGAACCTTTTATCAAGCCTTCAGTGTAAACAATGTGAGTTTCAGGCCAATAATGTCTAATACCAGCTTGTAACTCTGAGAAGTGTGTGTTAGAGTTCATTCTTCAGTTCCATGTTTGGGTGGTAAAAATAGTGGTAAAATAGTCATCTCCTTTGAGACCATATGAAATGCTAAAGCAGAGATAGCAAAGACACTGCTGTTAAAACTGTTACAGCTCTTCCAAGAGTCTTCCAGAGTGCTACTCTGCTTTCTACATTGACACTTTGGATATTTTGCTGGTGTATGCTTATGTACTTGGAACAAATTGTGCACTGTTTTTTGCAGTGTGGAACACAATATAAAACTGTTCCTTGAAAGTAGGTTCTATTTTCAACCAAATGAGGAGAAATGCCTTAGAACTGTACATGAAACTGTTCCTGACTATTTAATCACATGAATCTGAAATCCCCAAGATTTATCTGACATGCTCGAGTTGTCTGAACTTTAACCATAGCTCTTCATCAACAAACTGTTGTTTTTTTTTTTCATGTATTGCAGTTGCTGGTTTGTCTTCTCAGGACTACTGTTACTATCTTTTATGATTTCTGGCACTTAGACTACAAATCAATGTTTTTATAGCTACTATTTGGAGAGTCACTGGATGTTAAATTTTCTGACTCCACTTTAAATCATTAAAACATTGATCTTTTAACCAATAACAATTCTTGGTGTTTTTGTGGGATTTTTTTGTAGGGTTTTTGTGAGGTGTTTTTGTTGTTGTTTGGGGTTTGTTTGTTTTAGGGAAGAATATTTGCTTATCTGTGATATTTATATTTTTTAATATTAAATGTATGTTAATGTATGAATCCTTTCAGAAAGAACAAACTTTAAAAGTTTGAGAAGTGAAAAGTTCTTATTTCTACTTAGATTCTATTTATTGCATGTCTTTGTCATCTTATAGTTTAACTACAAGTTTAATACTTGGGCTGAAAGCTATTCCAGTAGGATTCCTGCAGCTTTAGCTGTATGTCTTAGACCAGTGTGCATACCTGCCTCTTACATAGCAGCCACTTTCAGTTCAACATACATTTTATATTTTCATCAAGCTAATGTTAATATGGTGATACACAGTTCTGGAAAACTATGCTAAATCCTTCTAATAAGAATTTTGGTCTACTGTCCACATAGATGAGGTAACACAGAGGACATTGGAAAAACAGTGATTTAAGAGATTGTTCTGTGGGCTTCTGCAATCATGTTGTTTTCTGCTTTAGCATTCTGTCCATAGGAATGCTGCGGCTCTTGAGAAATCGGAAGCGGCTGCCAATATACACTCCTTTAAGTGGTTTTGATCTGCTTAATGTTCAGCCCCATGAAGGCACTCACAGTTGTGCTTACACACATTTCTTTGTAAAACTGATCACTAGGGAATGCCATATTGGGAGACGGTACTTTAAGAGCTGTTCAGAATAATTTATCCCTTTAAAATAAAGCATCAGCCTTTATTTACATTTTTGATCTTGCATTTCAGATATTTCTGGTATACTTGCTTCTGTTACATTCAGCACAGTTAGGACTATTAATGGAAGCTTTGTAATTGTCCTAGAGTTACTTGCAATCCATTAAACGAAAAAAAAAATTGCAGTAAAGACAGTGGAACATTTTTTATAGTATATTTACTTCCTATAAATTCAGACAACTGCAGCAAGCATTTGGGCAGAGTGTGGATGTATTGAAATAGAACAAACATTGCAACAGTTGAGAAAAAGTGTGTATATTCAAACCCCATGAAAACAAAAATGTGCAGTTCTTGGAATCTCAGACTTAAATTACATTTGTTCCTGTATTGAGCAAGCTGAATACTTCACTAAAAATTGTTTCTAAATTCTGTGGCAAGTGTTATAGAAAATGTTAGAATTTATGGTGGCATGTAATACACGTATTCACGCGTGTAATTTTTTTTATAATGCTTCTGACCTTTTTTCTCAGCTAGGCGAATGCTTTGCAGTAGTGAAACCATTTCAAGTCATAGTAAATTACTTTGCTAACCTTTTGAAGAAGCTTTAATAAATTTTATTCTTTCATTAGTCAGATTGTCTCCATAGTAAAGGGAATGAATCTCCGAGTTACATTTGGGTAGCTGAAAAAGCACTTCAGAAACTAAGGAGGAGGAGCTCAGCAGCATGTAAAATATTCCCTGTACAAAAGTGTCACAGTGCTCAGTTATTTTAAGATAGCATGTAGTGTTTAATGCAAGTAGATTTGAGTCTTAAAGTTACACCATTGAAAAGTCTTACCTTTTATATGAAATTAAGAAATAAATTCATATATAAAGAATATGTAGATAGATTTGCAAATTATTGGGGTTTTTTAATGCCATATTAACTTTCATTTTGGTTTAAAAGCAGCCTTCAGAAAGTACTTAATAATGTTTTTTTTAAAAACTGAGTGGCTCATGTTTGTCTGTTGATGCTACAAGTGTTCAAAAGGATTTCTGTATTCAAGATCAAGCCAAAGGTATCCAAAAACCTGCTTTTCTTGGGAGGAGTAAGTTGCCTTGTATTGATGAAATTGTTTTGTGTTCTTACCTAGGTGATCGTTTCAGGTCAGTGATAGATGATGCTTGGTGGTTTGGAACAATTGAAAGCCAGGAGCCTCTTCAGCCTGATTATCCTGATAGCTTATTTCAGTGCTACAATGTCTGGTTAGCAAATTTATCTTCAATCTTTTATTTTAATTAGTTTTTTCATTTGAAGTACTGACTGAGCAACTTGCTTTCATTAAATTCAGTCATGCATCTCACTGTACCAGTTTGTTAAAATACTCTGTGGTATATAAATAAGTTATGTTACAAACATTAAATAATTACATTGTTGAAGCAATATTAGTAGATAATTTAAATGTGGTTATTTTTAAGCTGGGACAATGGTGATACTGAGAAGATGAGCCCCTGGGACATGGAGCTGATACCAAGTAATGGTATGGTACATTAATAATATAATTTTCTTTAAGAGTGTATTTAAAGAAGAAAAAAAAGTTATATGGTTTCACCTAAATAATCCTGTTTCTCTTGAGGAGTGGGGGGAAGGCCCACAAACCAGTTGCATTTAAAGAACATCTATAAATCAATTATTAAGCTAAAAGCGAATCAAGATAAATGAACTGAAAAAACATACAGCTGTACTTAGACATACTTAATGTATGTTGGCAATAGACAGAAATGTTACAAAACCTTCTAACAGATGAGGTACAGTTGAAGTTAACTTTTTATACAGTTAGGGAGGGATTGAAGATAAACCTGTGCCCTATGTCAGCTTTGAGGAAACTGGCTACTCTGAGACCTGTCAGCAGACATTCAGTGCATTGAAGATGCAACATGCTCCTGTGAGATAGTTTGATAATAGTAGGATTTGCTCCCTGTCTGGCCCAGCATGTGTGTCAGATAGACATGCTGCAGAGTGGACAGCATAGCATGGGCACTGTTCACAGGCAAGAACGTAGTATTTCTTCTTTCTCATTTAGTTTTTTTTGGAAGATTTCATATGGGTCTGGTTAAAAAATGTAGTAGAATCAGCATTTTTTGCTTGTGTCCTAGGAAACATTTGATAATATTGTCACTCATAAGTAACTGTAAATAACTCTTAATTCTTTTAAACTGTAAATGTGTCCATTTCAACTTTTCATTTCAGTTCAACCCTTCTTTTAATGGGTACCTCTTTGTCATAAGTAAAATACAGAAGTTAGAGTGATAGCATGACTAAAATAGTAATTAAAATAGGCAGATAACCAAACCTGAACCTGATTTTTTCTTTTACTGTATCCACAAATACTGACTTCTGTTACACCTTCCTTTAATTTTTTTTTTTTTTTTTTGAAGAGGAGCACTTTGTGTCATACTGAAAATCTGCTGTTAGGTTATGAGTTGTCAAAGTTGGTAGGTCCTCAAGAATGCTAGGGTGATGGCACTTTTAATTTGCTTGCTCAGGAGCTCTGCTTGTAGCATTTGACTTCACAAAACTGTGACAAGGTGGAACCACTACCTGGAGAATGTTTTAGCATCATCAAAGTCATTATCTTAAACTCCATCTGAAAATTATCAACCATTCATTACCAAAATAATTTATTACCAAGAATTTGCGTTTAAAAAAACCTAGACAAACCCAAACAAACTACTAAAGTGATACTAAAACACAAACTTTAACTGTGATAAAGGAGAGTATTAGTTGGCTCTAAAATAAATTCTACAATTAGCTATTTGGAAGAGGAAAAACATGGAGGACTTTACACCAAACTGCATTGTAAGGATTTAAATTTAACATACAACAATATACAGAAAGGATGCTGGATGCATCCAGTAGGTCTTTGAGCAAATCAAGAACTATGCATTTGTTTTCGTTAGTAAAATGATGTTATATATCTTTGAATTACAGGTATATGTATTACACAAGATACAAAGATCTATGTTTTATTTAGTTTTCATGTTACATTCTAGCTGTGTTTCCAGAAGAACTGGGAACTAGTGTTCCTTTAACAGATGATGAACGTAGAACGCTGCTCTACAAACCTCTTGATGGAGAGTGGGGTTCCAGGACCCGAGATGAGGAGTGTGACAGAATTATTGCAGGGATAAACCAACTCATGACTCTAGGTAAATCCTGAATAATATGGGAAGTGTTTTTTGTGTTGTATTTTTCAGACTATGCTCATGTGTACTTCTGAAATTACCAAAATGAATGTGATAAAATACACCTTTTACTTCGTGATTAACTGGAACAAAACTTTCTCATTGCACATTTTTAAATTTTTAATATAGTGAGTACATAGAAAGCCTAAATTTTCTACTGTTTTCAAAGGTGACTATTGCTTTTTGGTACATAATTTGACATATGCTAGGGGTTTGGGGTTTACATGCTAAAAACAAGTACTTGGTTTTTTACTGTAGCTGCCACAAGCTCTTATTGGGGTTAAAATTGAAACTTCATGATGAATAGAATATTAACTATATTACAGGCAGATGGGGGTGGGGAATCTTAAGTACTTTGAGAGAATGGATACTTACTTGTAGATTTACCCTTTTCTAATTCCCATTTGCTTTAGTTGTGCAAAATGTTGAGGAAAAAGTAACTGACTAACTTAGGAAAAGCCTCTTGCTATTTGGTTGTAGGGCAATTACTCTTTACAGGCAGCTTCTGAAAAAGTAATTGTTAAAACATTTAGCACATTACTGCAACATTTCCGTGATCAAAGATGGGTGTCTGACATGGAGATCCATCAATGAAATACAGGCTGAATCCTAAGTCTTTTGTGTATTTTGTGATGAGCAAACTGTGTTAAGTCAGCAGTCTTAGGTTTTGGGGTAACAATGGTCATAAAGTAAATATATAAATTGTCACAGATAATTAATTTTTTAACTGATTTTTGAAGTACTTGGAAGCAAGCTAAGACAAGTTTCAAAAAAGCCAGAAAACTCATTAACTCTCAAAATACTTCTGATACCTAAATGTTCCACATTATGGCTTTTTTGGTGACATACTGCATAAGAAGCTTCCCTTTGCTTCCAAAAGAAAGGAAATATCCATACAGTGTAGTTATCCAAATTACAGAATTTCATTTAAAAAAAACCTGTGAGGAAATGAAAGTTTCATTGTTTTCACTGTGTCTAAGAGTAGTGGGTTTATGTTTTGCATTACGTTGTATGGCATACTGCTTAGTTTCGGATTTAACTATAGCATACGTGGTGCATATCGATACAAAGGAGCAGTTGCTAGAATGTTCGTAAGAGTAAGTAAACAGCTTTTAGAAGAAGAGCAGTCTGTTTAGCAACAACATATTTTCCGTTTTTAAAGACTTTCAAGAGAGACTTTAAAGGTTGTTTTTTTTTATGTTTTTGTATTATGGTATTGGCCCTTGAGGTATAAAATGTTAGAATGATGTGTCTAAGCACTCAGGATGCTTCTAAGCACAGGAGGAAGAAACCAAGTTTCTGTAGGTGCACAGACTTAAATTGCTCAGCAGTCTTCTAGCATTATGGTGGATTGATTTTAGAAGGCTTCTTTGCTGTTCGATAGGCACAGGAGATTGTGTTTCTATTTTGAGTGTGGATTTTCCCCATATCTTAATGAGATTGAAATAGTACTGTAACTTTTATGGTAAGAATTTAATGAATTGCTTTGAAGATGGGAGAGTGGCAGTATAAAACCAAATTAAATGAGCCTGTGTTGTAAATAACAATACTGAATTGCATGTCTTCATGTTTGTATAATTTATACATTTAAATCTACTTTTCAAGTGTGTGTATTTTGCACGCACTTGCCATGTCTCTGAGGAGTGTGGTGCTTCATGCATGACAGAATGGGTAGTCACTGCAGGGATTATACTTACAGCATAGACCTTCGCAAGCACTTCTATATGTAGAACATCACAAATTGTTCGGAATATCTAGAGGAGTAGTTGTTGTTATTTTGGGGAAAGTATTATGTGTTTCAAGCATGAAGAAATGGCATGTGTTGCAGGGGGTGAATCCTGAAACTGCTAAGGGACTTTTGTGGTATATAACTTTTGGGGTTTGTTTTTTTTTGTTTGTTGTTTGTGTTGGTTTTTTTCATCTAGATATTGCTTCTGCGTTTGTGGCACCTGTGGATCTTCAAGCTTACCCGATGTATTGCACTGTTGTGGCATATCCCACAGACCTCAGTACCATTAAACAAAGACTGGAAAGCAGATTTTACAGGTTAGATCCAAGTCTCAGTTCCTGCTGTGAAATACTGCCACCATATTTTTGGTAGCTCTTTGTCTTGTAATACCCAACTAGGAGATGGGAACAGGTGTGCACTTTCCATTTCTCCCATCTTCTATCCTTGATCTAGGTTTCCATTTTATAAAGCTTTAAAAAAGGATTGAACTTCTCTGAGATGTATTTTAGAATTATGTGGCATTCAGATTTCCTGCTTATGCAAATTACTTGTTCCATGTGAGATTCAAATTGCAGGACTAGAGACGAGGTCAGTAAAATGACTTTTAGTCAAAAGAATTAAGTTTCCACTTTATAATTTAAATCTGTTTTTTAATAAGAGAAACCTCAGAAATATATCAAGTGGTTTTGTCCTAATGCACTTTAAAAAAAAAAAAAGTTGCATTATCACTTAAGGAGCTACACAGAAAATAACTTCTTAAATTATTGGCCTTGAAATTCTAAATTGTTGCACAGCAACAAAAATAAGTTTTAACTTTTTGACACTGTTTTGATATTTTCCTGAACTATGATTGCAATTGCTGTATTTTTTTGCAGTAAATATTATCTATGTAGGAGTATGCTCCTTTAAATTACTTCTGTTTCCTTTGGTTCTTGGGATATTTCTGGCTTGAAAATCAGTGTCCCTCCTAATACTTGTTTTGAATAAACATGGATAGCATTTTGTTTTGGGCCAAATTTCAAAGTTAATTTGTAGTACTTCATGTGTGCTAACTGAAGATTGAATTTTAAATTAAAATTACGTCTCATTTTCAAAAAATGCCCTGTTTTTTTTACACATTATAATGCAATAATGCACACTTATTGTTTCCTGTTTATTGTGTGATATAAGGTAATCCAGCTTTCACTTCTATAATGTACTACTTTGCAATCAGACGTGGCAAAGACTTTTTGCTGGATTTTGTTTCTCTTGTCAAAAGAGTAAGCAGTTATTTTTGGTAATCAGCATACCTCCTTCAGTAAACCTGGTTTTAGTAGTTTGTGGTATTGTCAAGGCCTGGCTAGGTAATAAGCAACCACCTTGTGTTGTCCTTTCCATTGACATTTTTTTCCTTGGCATTCTGCAGGAGGGATTGTTCAGATCACATGTGATTTTGGTCGGTTTTCATGAGGCTTAACTTAAAACATTTTTTTTTCTCTTCTGAACCAGTAGTCTTAGCATGCCTTGTATGTTTTTAAAAAATGCAAAACAAAACAGAAAAATACGATTTTTCCCAGTCACTACTGGCATTATATAGAACTAAATGCTGGACCCATAAACATGATTAAGTTCCATCTAAACACTTACGCTACGCTAAACATGTTAAATGATCCCCCACTTCACTCTACAAAACACTTGTGCAGCATTTCTTTTTCATCATATTTTGCTAGTATGAAAATAGAAGATTGTATATATTTGTAACTTCTATGCTGTCAGACTTTTTATTTGAAATAGTATGTATTTTCTTTTTTTTATCGTATCTTTTTAGATTGAATCTAATTTTTTTCAGTTATTTTTGCTTTTGTGCATCATTTTTCATAATGTGGCTATTCTGTAGTCAGGTCATTAAATCAGAGCTATGTGAGGAAATCTGATCGTTGTCTATCTGTCAGAAAAATGTGTACTTCGAATAATTTTTTTTTATTACTATTTTGTTAATTCTCAGCTGTGGCTTAAGAGGCCATATAGGGTGGGTTATGTATATCATAAAGGAATAATAAAAGCTGAAGCATTACAGCTGAATTTTCCCAAGGAGTGTCAGCTGTATATTCTTAAAGCTATTTGTATAATTTAACTCAGGACATAACATGAGAGCAGGAAGCCTGAGGAAGCTGCCTTCTGCTGGTCACACGGGGCAACATATCAAAGTGTGCATGTTTTCAGATTTAATGTAAAAAAAAAAAGATAAATGGGATAATACATTGGAAGAAGGATGTAAAGCTTTTTCTCCTGTTTCATATACATTGCTAGAAATAAGTCTGGGGTTTTTTGTTTTTGTTTTCTTTCCCTCCCCTCTTTCCTCCTTTCATATACAGGCGCCTTTCTTCATTAATGTGGGAAGTCCGGTACATAGAACATAATACTCGCACGTTTAATGAACCTGGAAGTCCTATCGTCAAATCTGCCAAATTTGTCACAGATCTTCTGCTACACTTCATAAAGTGAGTTGCTTAGTAGGTCTGTTGTTATTCCTGTCTCTTAGCAAGGTGTTTAGCCTTTTAAGACCGGAATTTTAAAGTGAGATAGTTCTGCAGCTTGAATTAGTCTGTTGTCTGCTGTTGGGGCAGAAAAGACTAAAGCTTATCTTGACAAAGAATACAAAAGTTTGCAAAACAAGATGAAGTTTTATAATACATTGATTGGCATAGATTGGCATGGCATTTTATTTCAAGAGACTTTCTGCTAAATGATAAAAATGGGTCCGAGTATCTTCATGGAGTGATATATTTATAGGTAAGAGAGGAATTCTTGTTTTGAGTTTGAATACTGCCTATGTTAACATAATTGTGGGCATTTAATTACAAAGTCTTTAAAATTTATTTGGAGGCTTTGTAGTCGACAGAAATAGTAGTTGTCTTTTCAAATGTTCTTTTTTATTTTGTCTATAGAAAAACTCAATGAGCAATGTTTCAGATTTTTCACAGTCAGTTGACACATCTGCAGACCTAAAGTTTGTAAGGAGAGCTTATGAGTGTGTCCACTGCCTTGATTTGCTTGTACACAGTGAATGCCGCTGTTCGCACCTTGTAGAAATGGCAAGATACTTAATTGGTTTAAGAAAAATAATGACCTTTTTAGTGATTTAGTTTCTCGGTGTTAAATTGAATGTTGTTCTTTTTTATTTTTTGTGTTCTTAAAAACATGAGAATTGCATTATGTAGTTGGAGATCTAGGACTTTGACTCTATGCATAAATCTTTGATAACTTCAGTGCCTGTGGTTTCTGATACTGGCTGGAGAGTGAAAAATACTTAACTGTTTCAGATGTTAAAAGTTCTAGTGAAATACATATCTGTTCCTAAAGGTGTATCTAAAGGGCTTCTCTATTACTCATTTTGATCTTTAACATCTTTGTTCTATGTGATGGTTTTCTGATTAATTAAGCAGCTCAGGGTTTTTCAAAGTGTGTGTTTTTAATTGGCTTAGCTAAATTACTGCAACACGTGGCTATTCTTATTTAATAATGGCTTATAGCTTGTGCCTATTAATATACTTATTTAAGTGAACTAGCAATGCATATAAAGCCCAGACTTTTTGGGTTTTAGGATTCTAACTGTAGGGTAGAAGTCCTAGACCATGGAAGGCAAACCCCCATGGTCCTAATGAGAGTGAAACATCTAGATGCCTCTGAGAATCTAAGGCTTAGTCTCTTAAGTTACCAAAGACTTTTAAACAGCAGAAAATGGGGGTGGGGTGGTGGTGCTTCACTGTTTTTTTTTTCACCTTCTCCCCCAGCTGTTCTAGTGATAATTGCAGTGGCCTGTATTATGGATTATGATTCCAGTGTAGAGTTGCTGAGTATTTACTCCTTTTTTCTGGTGGTTTGTATTGCTACATAGCAGAACACCTTTGGGCTTGCTTTTGTGTAGGGGTTTGCCTTGTTGTACAGGAATTGAAAATTGGTGTTTGTTTTGCTGATTTAATTATGCAGGTTTATACAATAACAGTGTTAGGCCTTACACAAATAAACATAAAATTTCAAATGTCTTACATTGTGGGTGCTAATGCATTAAATAATTAAACTGCACTTTTGTACGCTAAATCTGCTGTAGTGTTTCTTACAAAGCTAGGTGGCCTCCAAAGCCCTTCATATGGTATAGTATTAAATTTTTCTAATGCTAATAAATCCATGGTAAAGGATTATGATTTTTAATTTTAAAACACTGACACTGTTAAGTGGTCTGTATTTTACAAAGTGCAGATAATATTTTACAGCTTTGAGCGGAAGATTAGCTTTTCTTATTACTGCAGTTCTCTTAGTATTCATATAGCGCTAAACACTTTATCATTTTATTTGGGAATGGCTTCATAAACATTGTCCTTATCCTAGGCAAAATACAGTTGATTCCATAGGTGAAGATCAAAAATAAATGTTAGCATGTATTTCTTTTTACACAGAGACCAGAGTTGCTATGACATAATTCCATTGTACAATGCAATGAAGAAGAAAGTGTTGTCTGACTCTGATGAGGTAAGTGGTTGTGTCTTAGACATTGGCATTGAAAGACTGGAGAAACAGGTCTGCTGTCTCCTACTGGATACAAAAGTACTTTTTTCAGTCAATGTAAGGGAGTGGGGTGTACTTTTCTGTCAATTCAATGTTTCTTTTTGTCAGCTGGGAAACTGGGTAGAAATCCAACCTCCTCTCCTCCTTTAGTGCAGAGAACTTTAACAGTTTACTGGAGAATATACACGCTTCTTAGCGTTCTCAAAACTGACGGTCTCATGAAGTGCTTCGTAGAGGGACAGGGGTAGAACTGTAAAGACTCAAATTATAAGTGAAATATAAAAGAACTCACCTACTCATATATGCTTGTATTTTTTTAACCTTTTTATGCGACTCATTATCTTGCTCAAAGGAAGAAGAGAAAGATACAAATGTGCCAGGAACTTCCACTAGAAAAAGAAAGGTAACGGTTTTTTTTTTTATGATTCATAGTGCTATAAATAATTAGAAATGCATTTGTAAACAAAGGAATGCAAAACTGAAAATGTTTTTATTATCCTGTAATGTCAGCTTTCGGAAAGTTTTGAACTTAAAGTGATGTGTTGTTCTACTGAGCTGTTCAATGTAAAAGCATTTCTGTCTGTGCTGCTACATGTTACGAATTCATTAGTTAGAATTTATGTCCTACAGGGTACCTTTTCCATTTGATTTTGTAAAAGCAGCTAGTTCATTTAATATATACCAGACAATATTATCATTTCAGGATCATCAGCCAAAGCGGCGACTACGTAATAGAGCTCAGTCATATGACATTCAGTCATGGAAGAAGCAATGCCAGGAGCTGCTGAATCTCATTTTTCAGTGTGAAGACTCTGAACCGTTTCGACAACCAGTGGATCTCCTTGAATATCCAGTGAGTATTTTAGAACAGGAAGGCTGGTTATAATCCAGTTGTTAGGTGGGGCTTTTTTTCCAACTGTGACCATTTTTCCAACTCTTTTAATTGAAACTTTAGGCAGCTCTGTTGACAGAAATTTTTTTCAGTGCTTGATTGTCACCTGATAATAATGTTTATTGTCTTTCTAAAATAATTTCAAAAGAAATTGGACTTCTGCTCTCTTAAATGCTTTAGTTGCAAAATGCTTTATGTTCAGGGGTGCCTGTGTTAAGTAAATTGCAACTTTTGCAGTTAAGATGTGTTTTTCCTTTTCTGAGTGGAAAATGGTCATACATAAAGTGCATATGTTTGGTTGTTGCATGTGACAAATGTTGTCATGGATAATTTTTTGTTTTAACTTCAGAAGTATAAAAACTAAAAGTAATTTTCATATCACAGTCATCTGGGCTTGATGCAGAAAAAGTACCCACTGAAGAACTGTAGTGAACCAGAAGCCTTGGTGCCTTGGATCTCTTTTAGCCTTTTAGGCTAGTTTTACTTTAAGTAACAAAGCAAAGGTTTTGCATGCTCTTCTAGCATATCCTAAGTTTTTCTTTAAAATACCACTCTAAGGTGATGAACTTGGGGGAAATTAATCATCCCAGTTAGAGAAAAGAAATGCTTCTCTTTCGGAAGTCACTAGGAGGTCTGTCCTGAGACTTTCGCAGCTTTCAGGCACCATGATTTTTGAAGTAACCTAAACTTTGTGCTGTGGCCAACCACGAGTGGCCCTTTTTCTCTGGGATCCTCAAATGAGCTAATAAGTGAGCACCTTACTAGGCTTGGGCATGAAACACTGCTCCCTGGTGTCACAAACCTGTTCAGCATTTGGAGGCACTCACACAGGTTCTATTTGCTCTGATGGATTAAGTTAACTCTTTGGTTAATTTTGGTATTTAAGCTCTTTGTCATATGTATATTCCTGTTTCTTCCATAGCCTAGAAAAGAAGTTCTGTCATGGGCTTGAACAGGGTCCTATTTAACCCTGTGGAGCTTTCATTATTTTATTACTACTTTTCCTAAATTGCCAGGTCTCCATTTGGGAAACTGCTCAGGTTTCAGCAAGGATGTGCTAAACCTTTAATCAGGTTCAAATATTCAAACTTCGTATTTTAAAGCTAATATGTAAAAACAGTATTAGGCTTAGTACCAAGTTTGAGCTGTTAAGCCACCCAGAAGGCTTGCAGTCACACTTTCATATCACGGTTGTCTTCATAACAGTGTGTCAGTAATATAAGCCTTAGGATACAAAATTTTGAGCTCTGTATTTCAGTAAATCTGTTTACAAAATGAATTAAATCTTGTATCAGTTAACTTCTAACCGTGATCCTTTTGAGCATGTCTGTGAGGAGTTATGCTGTGTATGAGTAGAAAGGAGCAAAATGTCTTCAGCAGTCTTCCATACCTATTTAAAGAGGACGTTTGGTTTAAACAGGTTTATCAAATGCATCCTAATGAAAATGATACATTAAGGCTTGGGAAAAAAAATTGTAATACATTGCTTTGCTATTTCTTAACAGGATTATAGAGATATTATTGACACTCCTATGGATTTTGCTACTGTTAGAGAAACACTGGAAGCTGGCAACTATGAGTCACCGATGGAGTTATGTAAAGATGTGAGACTTATTTTCAGCAATTCCAAGGCCTATACACCAAGTAAAAGATCAAGGGTAAGACTTCATTTTCTTTTTCTTTTTTTTTTCTTTTTTTTTTTTTGTTGTTGTTGTTTGAAGGAATACTTACATCTGAAAAATACAGGACAGAAAAACAGAGAGACGGGGTAATTCATTAGTTTAAAAACGAGTTTAATTATTTCTGATCTTTAAACATGAGTATTTCTGAGAAAGCAGTGTAGCTTTGTATTTTAAAGGAAAGGAATGTATGCTGTTTAAATGCCTGAAGTTCTGGTATTCTGTAAATGTGTTTCAAAAGTAAGTATTTGAACGTGGATCTAAAGGGAGAGCCACATTGAAGGAAAGATTTGTAGAAACATGATTGTGGATACAATAGTGGAATTTAACTGATATTTTGCGGAAGAAACTAGATTTTTCAAAACACACAAACACAGAGCCCCAAACTCCTCCACTTTGGAGGTTGCCCCAAGCTGAAATAGCCAGGTATAAAGAGTAGAGGATAATGAAATTCTCTGCTGTTCACCAGCATGCAGTGAGATTGTAATGAAGCACTTAGGATTTCTGAGAAACTGAACTGTTTACTTAAAGCATGAGCCTACAAAGCTGTTCTTACTGAGCTGCTACTGAAATGCCCTGCCAGTGGTAGAGTTGTTGATATTTTCCCTCAGATTGACTTGTAGGTGCAGTACCTGTTAGCAGTGAAAGTTATAAATGTATGCTTACACATGTTCAAGGCTTCTGTGTAGCTTTTCTTCTACTAATATGCATTAGGTATTAGACTAGAATTATTAATAGCTTTTATGTTTGGCTGTTCTAAATAGCAAATTAATCATCAGGACTTTATTGTCTTAAACGCAGGGAAAAATTCCTTAGTAGGTGATTGGCAAGAAGAACTGATCAGTGACAGATCTCTCTTCAGTCAGTAATAGCCAATCCCACTCACTGTTTGGGCTGCCCAAGAATCAGTCCCTTGTCTTTTGGTTGCTTCAAAGGGCAGGGCTTTTTGGGCAGGTGTGAGTTCTTTTGTGGTTTTTCTTTCTCCTCTTGATCTCCTCAAACCAAGATAGGAAAATGCTTGACAGTATCTTAGCTCCGTGTGGTTTCACAGATTCTTCTGACATTTTCGTATTTTTTCACGTTTCTTCCAAACAGACTGGTGTAGTAGTAAACTTGTAGCTCTTTTTTATTTTATTTAGAAATGGCAGGTTCTGGTGTCAAGAATTTTAATATTCTAGAACCTATGTACTTTCAGTGCATGCAACACATAGTTGTTGAATGGTGATGTTTTTACTCTGACTTGTCATTCAGTGATATTTTTAGCACCTTACTTTACATCACTGATGCTTACTTGAAGAGTAAACATAAACCCATCAGCTTTTTTTTTTTACTTGGCACATTAGACATACATTTTTTATATGGTTTTTTTAATATATTTTCTTACGAAATTTCTTCGGATGTCCTCTCCAGTAATGCAAGCAGAATCTGTCACACTTGCTGTTTAGTCTGGCACTCAGTTTGTCTGGTGTGTCATTAGGTAGGCAACTGTTTGATACTGTCTTTGTGTGTCATATTCTAAGAAGGTGCTGTGTCCCCTCTTAAAGCATCTAGACAGTTCACTCCCGTGTGTTTTGTTTCCGGAATTAATAGCAACTGTGCTCAAATAACTAGTTGTGATCTAAACTGAGTTTGGTTGGGTCTCTCTCTAAATCATCCAAGGCTAGAGGGGAAAAAACCAAAGAAGAAGAATGTGCATCTACATAATTCTAATACATTTATTGTACCTGTTGGAACCAACTTACTGATAGTATCAATTCATCCATAAGAGGACTAGACTGATGTTCAAATATAGGATACAAGAATGCAGCTTGATACAGAAGAAAATTACATTTCTTGACCCTGGGTACGATACAGTAAAATACCATTAAGGATCTCTCTCTGTCGTTTCTACTGAAGCTATAAAGGGATGCGTTCTGGAAAGGCAGTTGAGAAGGTGACTTTTCTAATTTTTGTGTGTGATCTTCAGTTGTAATACACTTCTCAAAGCCATGAAAATAGTTAAAGCAAACCTACACATGGATTAGTGTAAATTTGTTGAGGCAGACTGTAAATTTCCTTAAAACTTTTCCATATTAATCAGTTTACTTCTCTAGCTATTGTTCAACGATAAATAAGTAAAGTGATGCTTTGGAAAAGTATAAAACTTACTTGTTTACTGGCTTTTCTTTTTTAGATTTACAGCATGAGTTTGCGCCTTTCTGCTTTCTTTGAAGAACACATAAGTTCTATTTTATCGGATTATAAATCAGCCCTACGCTTTCACAAAAGAAATACAATAAAGAAACGAAGGAAAAAAAGAAGTAGAAGCAGCTCAGTTTCCAGTAGTGTTGCATCCAGGTACATTAACTCCTTTACAGTATTCATGAAATGCTGCGCAAGTTTGACATACCTAAACAGCAGAATTTAGTGTGGTTTTTTTCTTAATACTTCCTTTACTATTCCCTATATTGCAGAATGATAGCTTTGACATGCAAGTCCCTATGATGTGGAAGAGTTTTAAACTTTACTTAGAGCTATCCTAGTGTAAGTGCTTAAAATTCAAATAACTGCTAAACATGTACAGTAAAACAGCATCGTTAGGATAGTGATGGCATCATGCTTTGTCATGTAACTATAGCATTTATTGTAAAGATTCACTTTTCAGAGGCTCACAACTACATGAATTTCCACAGTAAATGTCATATTTTTAACATACTTCATACGGAGATGATTGTTTTACTCCCACAATCTCAGACACTAGCATTTAATTTTATTTATTCCTGTAAAATAAAAAAGTGGTCACCTGGGATACAAATTGTTACTCCTTTTGCAGCCCTGAAAGGAAGAGGAGATTAATAAAACCTCAGCTGAAGGCAGAAACTTCTGCCACTTCTTCATCTTCTGCACCTGCACGGTCAGCAGTACTGAGACATGCGCCACCTCAGATGAATGGAAAAGCAGCTGAAACCTCTTCCCTTGTGCGCACTAGAAGCAATAGGGGGATAACAGATGTGGCTGTTACAGAGCAACCATCTACTTCTTCAGGAGCAAAGCCTTTAACAATAAAGCCTTTAATTACAAAGCCTAATACTGCTGCAGGGTCGGGAAAGTCAGGCAAGTTGGTTTTTTGATTGTTTGGGGGTTTTTTTAAGCTGTGAATGTTTTTAAACAGAAAACTTGCTTTTTGGGAATCTGATGTATTTGTCTCAATTAAGACTGGTTCTGTTTTTAAGCTGCTGGGCCTTTGAGGTTCTTCAGAGGAAAACTGAACAAGTTAGGCTATGTTGTTTTATCCAGGAAGCTTTCTTACTTCTAGATCACTGATTCAAATTTTTTGTAGTAGAACATGACTTCCTTTTTAGCCAGATAAGATTGAATGTGGTATAAACTACTTAACTTGAATAATATTTTCTTTTTGCCCTTCTAGTACTGGAGAATTCAACCAAACATTCCAAGAACCAGAATATTGTATCAATCCCTAGTCAATCTGATTACAGTCATAACACTAGGAATAACTCCACAAGAGAAAATCCCGAGAAAGAGAAGCAGATCAAGCGCAAAGTAAAATCTTCCACTGTTAATCAACAAGGTACGAAGTTTCTTTGCAACTTTCCCCCCAGTTACTGATGTAGTGGCTGTAGGGTTGTACTTTAGTTGTGATAATTTGTGGGTGGGGAAATTAGTATGCATTATGATTTAGCAGAATAGGGAAGTCTAGTGGAACAACTCAAGTCACAGTTAGTTTCCTTCTTGATAAGTTAGCACGATTTTGACTACTCAGCACCATTTCCATGGTGTGATAACTCTGTTGTCTAGCCAATTTTGATATGTTAACGTACCTGTACCTTCATTTAAATCATTACAAGGGTCATGGAATCTGAGAACTCATAACAAAGCAGACTTCTGCAGGGTCACACTTTAAACCCTGTGGGTTTTACCTAATAAAACTTACGTGGGTTATATTTGAGTCAGTAACGCTGAGTGTGATGACACGCTCCACAACCACGAGCATAAAGATCAGAGCATCCTAGCTGCAACTTTGTTCTTTCATTTTTTGCCACATCAAAATAGAACTATGCAGTGTTTACTGCTTTTGTTTAGTATATTTGTATGGATTGATCGGACCAAGTATCATGTAATCTTCTGACTGAACTTGCTTGGTCTTTTATGTCTGGATACCTTAAAACTCAGAGTTTCTGCAGGGACTGAAATAAGATCTCCTAGTTGTAAAAGCTTTCCTGTTTATGAAGGAGGTTTGAAGTGTTACAAAGCTGCTGTGAAGCAGGTAGATGCAGTAAGAGTCTTTTCTCTGGAGATGGAGAAACAGTAGCCTGCAAATTGGGCCCCACCTAATTAATCTGGTTACTCCTTGTAGTCTTCCTCTCCCTGAGGATTATCTGTTCTTTCTTACTCTTCCATGCTTCTGAAAAAGCAGCTTGTGGTCTGATAAGTTAAATCATCTGTCCATTCCTTGCAAGCTTTCTCACAAAGGCCTCCGCTGTTACTACATTGCATGGCTAAATATGCACCCATTGCACAACTGGATGTTTGGTCATGTCAGAGATCGTGGTCATGTTGTTGACGTGATCCTGACTCTCCTGCACATCTGCTTGTATGATAGGGGAGGCTTGTGCTTTTAGTGCATGATGGGGCACATTTGAACACAGCAGGAGCTGTGCATGGATGTTCCATCAAAGGACTGGATGAATTATCATGCCAGCTCTAAGTCTGTTCCTGGTCTCGTTTTAGGCGAGGGCTGTGGTAGCAGGACATTTCCATAAGAGGTCCTGTGACATGCCTCACTGAGGAGGTTCAGTACCACTTACCTAAGAAAAACTCATAGCCCATAAAAGTCTCCAAGAAAATACCTTCTGCGGTGTGTCTGTTAATGTGAGAAATCTGTGCAAGTGGCATGCCTTTTTTTGTGTGTGTGTCTTAGTCTCCCATGTTTCTATCCTTTTCCTCGCTTGTTGTTGAAATAACCCTGGTCTAATGAACTGGCTATAAAGGATGCTACCTCAGGCTGAAAGAAACTTTTTAATTTCTCCAGAGATGACCTGCTGTGAAGCATTCCTGATCCTTGCAGCAATGCTTTTTGAGCAAATTTTTGCTGTTGCAAATACCGAATAGGAGTTTCTGTCCACTGTATCAGCCAAGAAAAACACTTGAGCTGTTTCCTTTTTTTCCTTCTTTGTTTTTTCTTTTCTCGCTCTTTCTCTCTTTTTTTCTTCTTTGTTTCTTCAAGCTAACTTGAACTAAACGCAACTAGAAGTTAGTCCTCATTGCATACTGGAATGAAGCTCTTTGAGCTCTACTTTGGGTTTCTTAGATTTTGACAGATTGGCAATCACTGTGAATCCATTCAGATATTTTAGTTGAGTTTTATTAAGGCAGTGTGAAAATGAATGTAAATGCAAATCTGTTATGTGATAGGTACTCTCATTTCTTTACAGTAGATTGCAGGAATAATGCTTTGGCATCAGGAAGCATTCAGGTAAATGGACATGGAGGACAGCCTTCAAAACCTCCAGTTAAAAGAGGTCCCGGACGGAAACCGAAGGTGGAGACTAATAACAGTAGCTGTGAAGTGGTGCACAAGAAAAGAGGCAGAAAACCAAAAAAGCTACAAATGGTTGAACAGCAAAAGGTGGTAGAGCAGAATACAATCCAGACCACAAGGGATATACCAGAAGAAGCCTCTGCTTCTACTGCATGCAATTCTCTTTCTGAAAATAATATGAAGGAAGACTTGTTACAAAAAAAAGGCCGTGGGGGTAGAAAGCCAAAAAGGAAGATAAAGACCCATCAGCCAGGCTCGGACCTCTTAGTTCCTGCAAATGTTAAAATGCAAACAAGAAGCAGGAGGAAAAAGATAGATGAGCCTATGGAGGAGGGGTCTGAAGAGCTTAAAGATTCTGAACCTCACATGAGAACTAGAAACCAGGGTAGGAGGACAGCCTTTTACAATGAAGATGACTCTGAGGAAGAGCAAAGGCAGCTATTGTTTGAAGACACCTCCTTAACTTTTGGAACATCTAGCAGAGGCAGAGTCCGAAAGTTGACTGAAAAAGCAAAAGCTAATTTAATTGGTTGGTGATTTTTACCAAGGGTTTTACTTCAGAATGCTATGAAGCAGGTACAGTTAAGGAACAGCAGAACAGACTTCTGCTTCCCTGCTGCTATTATGGGTTAGAAGAATATGTTCTGATTTGGGGAGAAAAATTTAGCAAAAAATAAACTGAAAGAACATTCTTTGAAAGAAATATATATTTTAAACTTTTGCTATTTATTGCCCTCCAAACAGGTTATGCATTTCAACAGTCATTTTGTTCACAGTTGAGAATAATTGAAGCAATTTCTGACTGACGTACAGAGTTGAGAGCTACTCTGCTCAAGTAGTGCGTAGTATCTCCACACAATTAAAAAAAAGGTGATAGAACTTTTAATGCCACAAACTGAAAACAGAAGTCTATTTTTGACCAAGCAAGGTACACTTTGATTGTAAAGTCAAGTTGCCTAGGAAGGCAGATTTTGGCAAAAAGTGGCAGTAAATTCACTCACATTTCTATTCAATACAAAAATACCAAACTTTGCTGATCTGAAAATGCTTAATTTCAGTTGTGATGGAACATTCAACTGCAAAAGAAGCCTAGCACAGGCTGTTGGTTTATCCAAGTTCTGCCAAACATAGCAAAAATGTAATCACAAATATATATATATATCCACATTGGAAAAAGTTTGACTAATGTCTAATTTTTCAGACCTTGATTCTTGTATCAATCACTAAATCTCTGTTTATTGTGCCAAAGACTGAGAATCAGTGCAGTGGAAAGCCTTTCTTTCTTTTTGAGTGTCAGTACAGCATACCATTTGCAGTGATAAAAGCTGTGTATTGTTTTAAATAGTAAGTTGTTAACATTGTTCTGAAATGTATCGTTTTTGGTACTTTTGGTAGAAAATAATGCACTGGTGGGGTCCTTTGACAGAGATGTTTTAGACAAAATGTATAATTGGTTAAAGGATTCAAGGAAATTACAGGACAGGTATGGAATTACGATGTTTACTTTCTGATCCAGATTGATTGTTGTTTCTACAACTTTAGACATGCTTAAGAGGCTAAAATGACCTACAGAGAAGAGTGTATGTGTATATATTAATATATACATAAACACATACATATAAAATATTACCCAGGTATAAATTTTTTTCAGGATTTTTTAGATAGCACTAGAATTGAAAATAAATTTTAAAATGTCATACTTTATAGTTTAATTTTAAGGGGAAGATTGGTTATTTTCAATTAATAAGGTTAAAAGGCCAAATCACTTTTTATGCAATCATGTTTTATACAGTGGTCTCATTGCACATTGTGTTTTTTCTGCACTTTTTATGGTATATCACGCTGACATAAGTCAATATACACCCTAAAGAAAAATTCCATTTAATGATTGTGCCTTGTATTCTATTATTTCTTGCATCCTTAGTAAAATTAAGTTGTCTATTGTAAATGATAACTATATGACTTAGGGGAATGTATTGTTATATGTACTGCTCTGGAAAAGAAAAGCAGTTATTTATTTGTTTATGGTACATTTAGTTATTTTATACCTTTACAAACAAACTTTAATACCATTTTCTATCACTTAAAAAAGTATTGTCCAGTTTTAAGGAAAAAAAAATACAGAAGTAGTCATATTTTCTGAGATCTGGTATGGTACAAAAATGTAACCAAAATTTTCTGGTTATACATTATTTTGGAAGTTTGGGTAGTGTGAAAGATTTTTTTTGTGTGTGACCCTAACTTAGTTGAAAAAATAAACCTGAAATGAAACCTCAATTCTGTACACCCTTACTTAATAATAATATTTATTTTTTTTTAAACATCGTCTGCAATATCTGGAAGGGAGGGCATACAGAATTAAGACCTAAAATTTGCACAGATTCTGTATACATATTTGCGGCCTGATTCTTCACTCTTTATTTTCTGTTACAAAAAAAAGCTTAAATGTTTGGACAAAGAACATTGGCATCTGGCACCAAGAGGAGTAGAAATGTGCTACTGTGGGTAGCAAATTAGTGTCCACCATACCTAGTTTTATGTAGTTCATTATGTATTTTGCTACAAAAAATGACTAAAATATTTTCCAGATCCTCTTTGAATTGTTATGGATATGAATTTGGGGAGCAGGGATTAGTTTGCATTTCATTTGTTGGTATATTTATTTTTGTTCTACCAGGTATTTCTTTATCACTCAATTAAAATGGAGTCACTAAACATGTGGTAAGATAACAAGCTATGGTTGTACAGTTGCAATACAGCTTCACAATTCAAAGCTAATTGGTTCTACTTGTTAATTTTGTCAAATCTCACTGATGAAGGCAATCATATGAAAATGTGTAATTTCCTGATGTTATCTGCATTGTAATATATGAAATAGATTATATCTAAAATTCAGCTTCTGTATTTACTCCATTTGTAATAATGTTTTATATGGCATGTTTATGTATATATTTATATATCAAAAATACCTTGTATGTAAGTTTTGGAGACTGAAATAATATACGTTCCCTTAACAGTAGGTAGAAAATTGTACATCTTAATTTTACGAGAATAGAAGGCCTTACCTGCAGAACATGGGTACTGCTTCCCACCCAGTAATATTGGTGACTTTAGCCAGTAATTTTTTAATTCATATTAGGCACATTAATGTTTTTCCTTTTAAAATAAATTGTGGATAATTTGCGTCAAATTTTTTTATAGAAACAACACTAAAAATTTATTAGAAATTAATACCAGATTTATTTAAAAGTTATATTTTTATAATTTAATTTCACTAGGTTGCAAACTTTATTTATGAGACTTTAGTCACCATCAGACTGTGCATTTTGGTCGGGGAAAAATGTATTAATTGAGGTTATTGTGGCATACTGTATCAACACAGAAAAAGAGCTTTTGATTACAAAGTCTTAAGTTTTTTAATGTGAGCAATAAACTATTGGTCAGTGTTCTGAAATAATTTAAGAACTGTAGTTATGTGCATGTTTTATAATGCCATCTCAAGTACCTAACAACTGGTTCAGAAAACGGAGTATCAAAATCTCATGTGCTTGTTTCACATTTGCATTGTAAATAACATAGGTTCATAGTCATATACACACAAACAATCTTACAGACCTGGCAGCAATTAACGCAGTTTTATTCATTAAATTCTTTTATATTTGACATGGATATGAGGGTACTGTTCTGGTATTTCTGCTCTATACTGGGAAAAGTTAAAATTGGTATTTACCGCTGAGTGGTATCTTAATAATAACAGTGTGTTCTCTAACTACTGATGAGGAAATAACTTCTGTTTCTGTGATACCAGTGTGCTCTAAATGTTTAACCGAAATCATTGTATCTGTGCCTAACATACTTAACAACTCTTAGCCATTTTGTTTCTGTTGTTAGTGTGTTCTCTGGGAACTGAACTTAAATTTTACCACAGTAGTGTTCATTATTGTCAATATTGAACTAGAGAGCTCTTTGTCACTCGGCAATGACCAGTGATACAACTTTACAGAAAAATGTCTTCCTCCAGTGATTAGACTGCTGTGATATAGATTTACATATGTTTATTTGTACAGTGTCCGGTTTGTACATGTGATCAGTTTGTTGATAGACTTGTAAGATTGAGTTGGTTGAGTTAAGTATTACTATGGCTTAATATTTGTAAAACTATTAATTGATAAAGGACCCTGATGCAGCACGTAGGATATATTAATAGCTATAAAGAAAAGAATTGTAGTGTAGAGGCAACTTATTCACTGTATTGCTGTACAAACATTTTTCAAGTACCAATTCTGATTCTGTGCCAGAGGCTTTTGTCTTACCAAAAGACTACATACAACAAAAAAATAGTCTGTCCATTCGGTAACTTCAAGCTCGTTACAATTTTGACACCACATTGTTAAATCTTCTGCTCACATTTGTTGGTCCAAGGACTACAAGTAAGTGCTTTAGCATATAATTTGAATTTAGGCACATGTTAAATGGTTGACTGGTTCTGTAAAAGCAATAGGCTTAACTGGATGGGACCCTTTCACCCTGTACTTACATAGTAGGTTGGAGGTTTGCAAGCTCACTTTCATCAACGTTTGCATTTAATTTGAAGCATGCGAATCTTGCTGAGGTAATTTTAACATATTGCTGGTCAGTCAAGATACAGCCATACCACAATAATTACATTATGTCCTGAGTCCTTACCTTACTCTAATGTAGTATATTTTGTCCACAGTAGTTTTTCAAAGGTTTTCCTTTTTGCCTTTTTTTTTTTTAGAGAGTTGAGTGTTTAACAAGAATTTAAATACAACTCTGCAACAGTGCTGTGATACAGAAGGTAGAGGGCTTTAAAACCTCACCTTGAAACAGCAAAAGCTCATTTTCTGTTTACTACCTAATGAAGGCAAATTAACTGTGTAAAATTACTATATAATGTATTTTCTTTTACCCCTGAAGTTCTTGTAACAGATTGTTTCCAAGGGGACCTAGATATTCAACCGATAAAAGGGCTGTTAGTTTTCTGCTGTAAATTATTGTATATACATGCTTGTTCATATGCAGAGGAGAGCATATTAAACTTCATAAAATTGGCCAAGGCTTGACAATGTGTTTCCAGTAACAAATCTGGTAGTGACAGCTTATGTAGTTTCCTGGTTTTGAATCGGGAATACAGCTTGTACACTTTCTACTATGTCTGGGGGAAATAACAGGTAGCTTTTAAACTAGAGCTAACGTCCGGGTACTCTTGCATTTGTGTTAATTTTAATGTGGGAATTAGCCGTGTAATTTTTACAGTGTGTTAGAGGAGGAAACACACCAGGAAAGCTAGATTAAAAGACATCTTAAATTGCAGAAAAAGGTGATTAGCTGCCTTCCCCCCCCCCCCCCCCCTTTTCCCAAGGTTATAACAGCCTCAAGGCACTCCAGAGAGAAACCTTATATGCTGCAATAAAATAAAGGTGAATAAATATAGCTTTTAGGAGGTAGGTAGCAAGACAAGTAGTCATTTGGATCCTTTTTAATGCAGATAAATACATCAGGAAATTCACTTCAAATAATGCAAATGATACATTTTAGGGAGGGAAGGTAGTACTATACTATGAATTTCTGCCCTGAAAGAACAAAGAATGAGGTCATACAAATTAGGAGTAGAAAGAAATATGAGTACCTATCATGTACACATGCCTGTATGATGTACATGTACTATTATGTGCTTACAACTGCGTGTGTTGGTTTGCTAATACATTGAGACCGTACAGAAGTTACATTTTTGGACCATACTAAAACTGCAGAGTGTGGCGGACAACTGGATAATGATCTTGTGTGAATTAAATTCTGTCATAATGTTTAAATATGTATAGAATGGAGCTCAACTTCAAGGAAATGACCTAGAAAGGTTAATTTTCAAACTGACACATTTTCAGATTAAAAATTATGCTTATTTTGTACAGAATTATGTAAAACACAAATCTGTTGTATGTAATGAGTAACAGTTTTGGAAACTATAATTCTTTAGCTTTATCAAGGTTTTTTTCTTCCAGAAATCTGGATTATCATGTTATAACCTGAAGTATCTCACCAGGATAACAGTGCCCTTTCTTTTTGTACATATGGATTGGAAATTTCTTTACTGTTATGTGGACACTTTCTATGTTAGTTTTGATGCATAATACTTTGAATCCTTTTATACAAACTAGAATGTATGTGTAAGAATTACTGTCACTGCAATGTAGTAACTACAAACTTATTTTTAAATAAATAGAAAACATGTTTTTCTAAGCTGTCCAACAGTGTTTGTTTCTATCTAGTGATTTACTGTGTTATGGGACAGTTGCTTATGGGTTCTTCAAAACAGCCTAGAAGCGGCTTGTTTTGGCTCCTCGTGGAATATGGTATAGCAGCATATGGTAGTATGGTGTATAGTGTATTATGTGGGAACAGACGAAATCATGACAACCAAAGCACTCTCTGCCAGAGATCAAAATTTGCTATTTTGTAGGGTTTTTCACTAAACCCTGCAGTTCTGGAGGCAATAGAAAGGCACTAGCCTGTGGCACTGAAGACGCCCTGTTACCAGTCCTCTTAGCTCGCTTCCACGTGTGCGGCAGGGTACCCCTCATCCTCCCGAGGAGCCATCCCTGTTCAGATGTTGTGCCAGAGCTACATCCAGTCGATGTGGAAATCTCTGCTTCCCAACAATGCTGGAAGAAGGTAAAAACAACTAAGCAGAGAGAAGTCCCCCGCCTCCCTGTGTGTAGGGTACTGCTGGTCTCCAGTCTAGCTGTCCTGAACGGGTGATGCGCAGAAAAGTCAATCCAGGAGGGGTTTCCGCAATGCTGTGGGGTTGGTTTGCTTGTATCTGCATGTTTCTGCTCAATAGATGGAAGACGAAAGAAATATTTGGTACTTCAAATACTGCGCCATGTGGATTCAGTTTAATTTCACGTGTTATTTGCTTTATCAGGTGATCTTTTCCTGCTTATGTACCTTACCTGAAATCACAAGGAAGTGATGGGAGAAACCCTTACTCGCCTCACAGATGCAGGTACCTGTGCTGCTGAGCAGCGGGATCAGGGAATGGTCCTGGCAGAACCAACCGAGTTCCCTCTAGCTTTCCAGACATGTCCACCGTGGAGTCTGGGAAAAGCCAAAACTTGTTTTAGCATATGAGGAAAAATCTCTGTTGTCTCAAGTCTCTGTGTGAGTTTTAGTAATTGCCATGTTCTGCTTGGAGAGAAATAATTTGAGAATACTGAAAATGCAATATATGCTTCCTTCCATGTTTCTGTTAAGTA